TTCAATCCCTGGTAGAGCTATTAATGCCTAAATAACATTTAATAGAGGTGATAATTATTTCACAGGTGAAACAAGGAGAGCTGAAGGCATCCTCCAAACACGAGCACTTACCATCATGTGCCATCCTACAATGCAGCAGAAAATCCAGAGCCTCCCCGCAGTATCAGATTTGCTTTATTTCCATATCTTTGCTTCAGAGGACCTTTTATTGAAGCATAGAAGAGGCACTGCATATAATCACCTTCATAGGAAGCTGTATTTCCTAATACCAGGAAGCAAAGTTTTAGGAACTGAGCGCAAACTAAAGGCCACAGGCTCAAGACTGGAATTTTCCTGAGCTGTTTTTGCTCAGGACTCAAACACCAAAGTAGAAACTTCCCTAGATGGAATTCTTTGTTCGATGCTGCAGGCAATTAGAAGTCCCCAAGGTCTGCAGAAATGGTACAAGGCTGATATTTTTGTCAGGGAGAATTTAAGCAATTCAAATAACAAGACAAAAATAATAGCATGAAATTCTGCTGCAAAACACAGGGTTTTTTTTTCCCCCTTCCCCCAAATTCTAGTGACTCAAACAGGCAGGTAACACATGTAAGCATCCAAGAGAGCTTTGGAAAAATACCAAACATTATTTTAAAAAAGTAATATCAAGTCTGCATTGCCTTTGATTTGATTACACAAAAAGGTCAAGTAATAAAAAAAACTTTGCACCTTTAAAGGTCTTGAAGGCATAGCAGAAGTAGTTTATCATTGGAATACAGATCTAACTAGCATAGATTTATTTTCTTTTTCCAGTTGATATCAGTGTCCTGTTTGAGGTTCTTGGGGACTTCACATGCAAAACTAGCAAAATTCAGAAAGAAACACATTAGTTGCTAGGATCTATGATTTCTCTAAACTCTTCTATTCATATTCATTTGGAAGAGAGACTATCAGAGGTTATCAGCCATCCCCCACACTATCATCTGAAAGAGAAACCGACTGTCACCAGCACCAACCCTTGGGAACACCCTAGTCAAGAGTTCAGATACAATAATCTAAGAGAAAAAAATAAAGTGCCACTCCCCTTGCTCTGCGCAGGACAGAAAGAAAAACAGATTGTAGTTGATAAGATGATTACTGGGTGTTCCAGGGACAGGGAATGGGAGCTAAGATCAAGAGACAGAAAATCCACCTAATGGGACCATGCCAATCAACCTGAACTAATAACTGCAGATGTTACATGTTTTCCATAACTTTCAAATGACATCTTATTTAAAAAAACCAACTGCTTGCATATTTTTCATCACATTATCTGAAAAAAATCCAGTAATGACCACAGTGTAAGACCCAGAACAAAACCATTTACTTCCTAAACTCTGCATTGAGAACAGTTCTTGAGCAAATCTGACAGCAATAAAGACTTGAGAGCTGCAGTTCCCCCACCGACAAGACAATGGGAAAGGATGCAGCAAAAGTAAGGATTAAAATGCCACAGTTGACCTTTTACGCCAGCAGATGAAAGTGGCTATCATGCCTTCAGAGGATGCAAACTGAATTGCAGAAACATTTTCATTTTAATTCTTCTCTAAAAGGTCAGTGACCCCCCTCTTTCCGGGGCTGCTAGCCCCTCCTGGAGTGTCAACTTGTGACACAACTGCTCTCCCTCCATGCCAGTCCTGGCATGGACAAAACCCGGGTTGTTTCATCACACAGACACCAGGCTTTGGAATAAAATGACACCTAGATTTGTTTTCCAAGCTGATTTGTCATAGCACATGTCCTTAAGCATCAGATTCCAGAAGGGATGTGCATAGCAGCCAAAATTTGTCTCGGATGTAAGAGAGGAAGTGACTTACAGCTGGAGGAGTTGCCAAACAGGTGCAAGAGATTGGATGTAGCATCAGACAGTCCCCTGCCACCAAGGTAATGCCAAGGAACCTGATTTGGGCATTAGTTCCATGCCCTCAGAGCAGCTCCACCATCCTTCCTGAAAGATAACCTCCCCACGAGTTGTTCCACAAATAGTTATCAACCATGTTCCATTGACTTACAGAAATTTAACAGAAGGATTGGTACAAAATATGTGGAATACTATTCCTCTATAGCAACCAAACAAGCAGAAATCATGGACTAGACCAATTTCATACAACACATATTAAAAATATCCAAGTTGACTGCCAGCTAGGAATTACCACCAGCTTAGAGCTTTGGATTTTTTCATCATACTGAGGTAGATGTTCTGCTTAACCAAGCTTGCTAAAATTTACTGTAAAGTTTCAAATCAAGTCATTCACAAACAGCCACAAGCCTTTTCTTTATCCAGCCCTAAAGAACCCAGAATGTCCACAACTCTGATGCAGCTGTTTTGCATTTCCAAACTACATTCAGGTGTAGATTATTAAACTCTGTTTACCTGCCATTTCTGAAGCTCAGCACACATTTAGTTCCTTGTTTTGCTCCTTCCCTCTAATAAGAGAAGTTATAATATCAAGGTTTTAAACCCACAAGATTTTCTCCTACTCATCTTGTGGTTTGGACAGTGAGGTTACACCGAGCCTTTGGATTTAGAATAAAGCTGGAATTTCCTCTGTCCATTTTTTTTTCATATATGCAAATACAATACGTGTTTCATACATACAAAAGTAATGTATACTCGTTTATGTGTGCCTGCATGTGTATTTATACGTACACACACATACAAGCACAGACTCCTACGGGCATCTAAGCCATTTCTATATGAAATGAATAGCCTTTACACTTGGCTGAAGCATCTTCCCCGAAAGCCGAGGTACCAGTTCCAACCAAAAGATTTATTTTGGATCCACCAATAACCAAATGCATTCGTTTTAACCGAGGTTTTTCTCTAGGGAATGGCCATCTAACAGTCTTCAATGCTTCTAGACCCATCTGAAGCTAGCCGCTCCTGTTCCCGTGCCAAGAATGCCGAGGTCACGTCCCCGAAAAAGCAGCCTCGAGCATCCCGGTGAGACGGAGCTTCCCGTCCAGATGAGCGGCCTGAGGCATACGGCTTTCCCGAAAACACCGGTAAAACACGAACTCACCATCCGAGAAGGTCTCAAAGACGCTGGACAATATCCAAGGTGGCTCCACACCAGCCGAGATACCCCAAATCCCGCTTACGTCCCGCCTACGCATCGGGTACCCCGGGGCAGCCCTACCTGCCCGCCCCCGCACCCCTCACACACCTCGATGTAGCCGGCGAGCGCGGCCGCGGGCCTGAGGAGCGCCAGGAGGAGCAGCAGCGCCGAGCCCATTGCCGCCGCCATCAGCCGCCACCGCCCGTGCGCAACTGCGGCCGCTGCGCCCTGCGAGGACCCGCCCCGCCAGGCCACGCCCCCCCGGAGTGGCAGCCGCGCGCGCCAATCCAGAGGCCGCAGGTAGCCGCGCCCCCGCAACCACACCAGCCAATGGGACGAGGCGCATGGCGGGCGGAGCCGCCCCCAGCGGGAAATGGCGGCCGGGGCTGACGGGAGCCGCGCGGGGACAGCCGGGGCCGGGGCGAGGCTGCTCTTCGCCGCCTCAGGCCGCTACCGAAACCCGGCCCGCGGTGAAACTCCGCACAGCGGGCACCGGAAAAGGCTGTGGCCTCTATGGCCGTTTGCAGGCTAAACACTTCACCTCACCACTGCGGCGAGCAGGAACGTTCTGGGGAAATAAAAGTCTAATGAGACGTTTTCCTCATGTAAAAATAAAACTATGTTTCCCACTCAAAAAAACATCTCGAAATCTATCCCAGATTTCTCAAAGCTCTTAAGCCATGTGCAAGCATCAAGTTCCCAGCCATTTGGGTTTCATAATAAAACTCAACGCATACGTCCTTCTTTATTTTTGTTTTTTCCTTAAAAAGATACTGAACGATAAGAATGATAATCACTAGTGGCTTCATCCTGCTGCCAACACCGGGTGCTCACCTGACGCTTCTTGGAAGATATCGTATGTACTGCCACACAAGCAGCTCTGTAAAAACAGCACAGTTCTCCATAAACTTTAAATAACATGTACGTATTTAATAAAAAAACAGACACATCACCACCACCATCTTCAGTTTGTGTTTCTGTTGAACCAGAGCACAGCAGCAGTTCCTTCCAGTGCAGATGTTCTGCCACTGCTATTTCAGGACACCTTTCTGGCTTTAAAAACAGGTTTTTGTGTCAGATTTGCATTGAGGGTATTTTAATTTCACCATGTTACTTAAAAAATGGAAATTTTAAATAATTATAATTTCAAAATAAGCAAACCCTTCAGGAACAAAGGTGTACCAAGTGCAGTTGCTGATACCACAAGACCTTACACACCTGTGCAGAGCATTTATCAGCTCCTTTTTAGTACTTGCCTTGGTTTTCCCTATGGAAATGTAGGTCAGTGCAGGGATGACAAATGCCCACCTTGAAGACTCAACTGCTAAAGATCCCACTGGTTTCAAGAACACGATTATCTTTAAAAATACCAATATATTTTAGACTTCTTGGATTTTTTTCATACTGACATGCAGTGAATCCATTTGCATTAAGTAAGAAAGGCAGTATCATGGAATCACAGAATAGCTTGGGTTGGAAAAGCTCATCTTGTTCCACGCCCCTGCCATGGGCAGGGACAGCTTCCACTAGACAAAGATAGAATATCCTATACATTCCATATATTTGCTTTCATTTTTGTGTGAAGATATGTGAGGTGCTTAAATGAGATGGAAAAAGATCTTAGCACAAAATGTCAGTTACAAAACATTTCCATTCTAAACTTCTATATTCTCTACTGGCTCTTACAAGTGCTGTTTTCTGAAATAGTAATATTGCTGAAAGGTTGCAGATGGGATGAATCTGTACAACAGATCAATAAGCAGCCCAGTTTTAATTAAAATTGCTGTCTGGTCCACTGGCCACTTATTATAGTCTCTTTCTTACACTATTTGAAAACCCTTAAATCTCTTTTACTGCAGTCCTCTGGCATATATAATTCTCTTTTTAGCCTGCCCAAGTTCAGTTGAAAAACGGAGTAACAAGTTGCTTTTGAAAACTGACACATTTTAATATAAGTATTTTAATGTGCAATATAAATACAGGAGTATTTATAACTCCTGTTATACAGGAGTATAACAAGACATTCTGAGTTAAGCTTTCCTCTTTATTTAAAAAGGAGGTATTTTTTTCCTCCCCAGTCCAAAATGTACAAGTTCTTTATAAATCTTTGGGATGGGACTTTCATTTGAGGTTGAATTTATGTAGACTTTAAAGTGTTACATAAATTAATTTTTTTTTAATATTTACATAGTTCTTGGTGAGAATTTATGTTCACAGCGCTGATTCCAACAGTGTGATCCTTGTTTTTCTGAAAAACTTTAAATCTGATGACTCCTGGGGAAGTCTTTCTGATAAGTATGAGGTACAACCTTAGCTGCATTCTCACCTGTTCCTAGTTCTGCACTGTAGATACACCAGGGTGTAAGAGGTGAAGTCCTGCAGCAAAGCTACAACACAAAATATTAATTTCAAAAGCAAGGCCATCAGTGCTCAGTTCACTATCTAAGAAGCAAGTGAGAAATCAAAGTTTGAAGAATAACACATTCCCCTTCATGCAGAGACCAGTCCTACCCGGACAAAAAGTCCCCAGAAAAAAAGGTTTAATCTCCAGACCTTGGTCATTCCTTGGTGTTGATCAGGAGCTCTACATGTAAATAAATTATATGACTGCAGGATGGCAGGGAGAGAGATTGAGATAAGAGTCTCCAGCAAGATGCAAATGCAATTCCATCAGTTGGAAAAAACCCAAAGGCTTTCAAGCATGGAAAGTCTTTGGGGGTGGCTTTTTTCAGGTGCCTCCTGTCCACACTTGTCACTGCAGGCATGGTGACACAATGGCCATGTTTAATTCAGTGCACAGGTCTATTTCAGGTGAGCACTGGTTCTTGTCTGTTGCCTGTGACAACAGCACCAATTTGAATCAATGCTGCAAGACTGCAGCATTCACTAAGACACCTCTCCTGCTGTAAAACCTGTTAGGTAGGTGACAGCTTACATTTACTTCCAAGAATCCCATTTTACCCAAGTTCTGAAGCTCTTAGTGCCCTTTTCCAGGACATCTGTGCTAATGAAGCACTGAGAATCTCATCCTTACCTTTGGCTGCCAATGTTTATTCTGTAAGAAATGTTTCAAGTGAACATCTCTGCCCCTTTTCACTTGCAAGAACAAGATTGTGTAAACAAAAAGCACATATTTATGACTGCAAAATTGCGCTCTGAAAGAGTAATGTCAAATTCATGATAAAAAGAGCAAACAAAAATCATCAAGGAATGCATCTGTACCATTAAAGTCTCTCATTAAAGCAGCCACTTGAGCAAACTGATACATTGAGATCCTTTCAGTTCCCAGAGAATGAGTTCAGGAGAAGTGAGGAAATCTTTGAAGAGTCCCACCATTTTCTTAAATTCCTGAAATTAAAGTGTAAAATTAGTACAATTAACCAGTGAATTGTAATCCTATACAGCTCAACTTGATTGAAGATTTAAATGGGGATCTCATCATTTGTACTAGTTCTGTGTGACAGGTAGAGCTTGCAGAGGTAGAATTAAGTCAATCTGGGTTTTAGGAGGTAGAATGCAAACTGAAGTTAGAAACAACTAAAAAATATGTTGGGATTAAGTAAAGAACTCCCTATTGCTAATTATTGGCGTATCATCATCATACTCCACTATTACTACTGCTGAACACAATTCAACAATATAAAAAATACTAAACAGTGCTTCTAGGAAAAATACAGTGCACAAAGGATGTCCACCTAACTGCCCCAACTCATCTGGAGCCATCCTGCCCTTCAGACAAGACCTCTACCTATCATCAAGGCTGTGTACAGGGCAGAAAGCAATGCAAAACTGTTATGAGCCAACTCAAACTTGATCCAACATCCAGCTATTTAAGTGCTTGGGGAAGTATTATTTCTTCAGACTCATAAATAACATCTGAAGGTTGCCAGCCTCATCTGGAATTAGACATCTGTATTTGGCTGCAGCACTTCTATGTGGAAGCCCAGGGTTCCTGCAGCCTTGCAGCTCAGCCTTCCATCTGTGACTCAAAATGACAACACACTGGGCACAAGATGAAGGGAAGTCCAGCAGCAGTGAGATGAAGGAAACTGCTAAAGAAACTGGGCTTAAGATATACAGTGAGAAGATGCTCCATAGAAAGATGGTAACAAAAAATGCAGAAACCCTGAGAGGCAGACAGGAGCTTAAAAATAAAAAGGTGATTTCTAGGGGAATACAGTGAAGTTTAGAAGAGTGACAGGCTGGAGAATAACTAAGAACAGATGCATACCATAAAAACAGGGATAAATAGAATAACTGCAGATATGAGAAAAACAGCACAGAAATCTGTGAAAAGAAGTGACAGTAAATGGTGATTGACAGCAAGCCTTTTTTTCTGCTCAGAAACTTCTTTAAAAGGGGTTTGCAGGGAAGGGAGAAAATCTACCCTTCATTATACCTATAAACCCTTAACTCTTGATGGCCATTTTCCCACTGCTCTGGTCCATGCCTGAAACAGTGCTATTCATCTGGCTTCCACTGAGATGTCTGAAGTGGACAGATCTGCACAGTAGTTTGTGCTGTATTCACCTCAAACAGCACAATCCTTGCCTACAGCATTTAAGGAAACAAGCCTGGCATTACTCCTGTAACTGAAAACTTCAAAATTACCCTTCTCTTAGGTTTGAAGATATTATAGCTTTGCTGAAGAACCAGCACAGGAAGGTTCAATTGCATTGGAAAATGAAAAACGCATCAATCCAAGATACTTAAGGGCAGCACAAGAGAGTGGATGCTAATGAAAGATGCTGCTCCTTCAACACTCTGCATATGAATCTCAGCATCCAGAAAATGTGCTAAACCTATGATCTCCTCTCATTTCTAGATGGGGGGCAAAACCAATGGTAAACTTAATCAGACAATTTGTTTTTCTGAAGACTATCCAAGGCAAAAGTAACATCTGAGAGACACAAGGAATCCATTTTAGAATAGATCTGCACGTATGCAGGATTGACTTCCCAGGAAAAGAAATTACTTCTGATATATAATCCAATAGAATAACGAGCCCGCACTCAGACTCAGGATCCCAAATGCAGAAATAGCAGAGACCAACCACCTTTTTAGCTCATACACAAACTGGGAATTTATGCTGCTCATTTTCTCTCTCCAGATGGATCCAAGGCTTTAAGCACTGGCAGGACCTCAATGCAGAGCAATGCCTGATGCTTCTCCAAGGAACTGAACACAAATATTGAACCTGACACAGAGAAGTCAAAAGATTGAGGGTCTAGAGGTTTACAAGTAAAGGCCCAGTGAAGACATGGTGGGAAGAGAGGAAAGAGAAGCTTGCTTTGCAGAAAATATTCAGTGAACTCTCATCCTCTTGCTCAGTGAGACGTATCTTCCTGCAATGGCATCCTGTCTCCTTTATCTCTTCTAGTCCACTGTGAAGGCTGAAGCGATGTTTAACCTCTGAAGATGGCAGAATCAGTCGTTCATGAATCAAGGCAACCAAACCATTCCAATTTAAATAAGTTGAGCCCCACAGCTGTGGTAGAGAAGCCATCTGAAAGGAAAAAAGCCCACAATTAAAAAGAATCCATCAACAACTGATATTGGCTCATTATGGTGCTGAGATTTCTCCTGTTGTCCTCGGATGTTTCCTCCCTCACCCTTCCCCTGTTTGCCTGTCTCAGTCATTTCAGCAGTGTGAAAAGTTGTTCATTTTACAGAGGTCTTTAATGATAAAGATGAAAATTCAAATATGCTATAATTAGCTGCAGTTCCACATAAGTCAGTATTATTGCAGTTTTTATATTAGATCCTAATTTGTCCCACAAATGATTGTGTCAAATATTACAGCAGAATGATTTATAACATCAGACATAATGGAAAGATTAAGCATTGATACAGGAGACTTGCTTGAGAAGAATAATTTTAACTTCTTTTCACTCATATTTTATTTTTGTCCTCTACTGTAAAATAAACCTGAAATTTAAAATAAAAATGGCTTATGTTACTGGCAAGCAATGGAAGAGATCTGATTCATGATTTAATTCTTTATTCAGTATTCATTGGTAGATTAAAAGCCAAATCATCATAACAAATGGCACAGCAATGAACAACATGGAATGTAAAAACCTCAGGACTTGTCCTGCTGAATAAATGTAGAATTATTTGCATCTTTGAAGATAAGTGTAATTTAACAACAAAGAATTGATTCCTCCCTCTGCAATCAGGTCTGATTCAGCATCTGTTCATTCTATCAGGCATCACAGAATTGCCTGTGCTAACAAGCTGTTCCGCGACACACCAAAGTCACCTTTTGTTTCACCCCCAATCACTTGTTTGAGCATTTACTCAGTTTGCAAGAACAGGGTGTATGAGGAACGTATGACACAGGAACAGGCAACAAGGAATTTTAAATGTCTAAGAGACACATCATGTCTGATAATACAAATTACGGGGAACTGCAGCTTTCCATCAGCTGCATGGTATCTTTAAGTGCTTTTTTTCCTGTTGCACTTAAAACCAGAATAACTCCAAAAATGCCCTCCTTACTTTAATTTGGTAGCAGCACAGAAAGCTGCAGTTTGCATCATTCTATTTAAACAAATATTAAGACATTTCCCATCACAATCATCATTGGGGCCTCACAGTTCTCAAACACCAAGTCATCCTTCTTATTTCAACACAGGAATATTGACTTTAGGTGCTAGAAATGCACACGTGGAGACACAGGACCTGCAGCTTTGCCTGTGGCACTATCACCAGACCCAACATTGGGAAGGAGCTGTAGGGTCTTTTCTCAGCAGCAGCCTGGTCTTAGCAACTGCAAGTTGGAGGAAAATCACTGGGCTACAGGAATCCCAGGCACAGGAATTAATATTTACAGACCTTGCTCTACAGGTTTTTTATTTCAGTGCCACAAATACACCCAGAGATCTACAGCACTATTGAGTTACACGCTCATTCAAGAGAGAGGCTTCATATTGTGCTCCAGGGTTTTTATAACCTTTGAAGCGGAGTTCTTTGGAGGGCCACAAGAAATGAGATGTAGCAGTACTTTGGCAGGTTTTAAACTCCTAAGGCAGCAAGAAGTTTGAATATAGGTTCTCTTGGTGATAAGAAATAAAGGAATACATGTATTTGAGGTCAGTGTCAGTTGCATAAAGGCAAAGAGCAGGACACAGCTGAAAGGAACTAGGATATGTAAGTAAAAGCTGAATCCCAGTGTCTCCAAGGGAAGGAGGGGACTGCCTACAACTTCCACCCCAATCCTATGGCCTGAGGGGGAGAACAGCCTCTTTCTGAATCACATTTTTTCAGAAGATGAGTCAGCTCCCGAGAGATCTTTAGCGAAATCCCTGTCCTGCAATTTTCAAATAGTCTTTTCCCATATCTTGCAAGAGGCTGAATTTGAAATGGCTCCTTTTATTTTACCATTATTTTCCCTCATAGAAGAGAGAACAGCCTGTGTCTTTTGCCATTGCAGCTTGCCAAGGCCTGAAGATCCTTTTTCTCCCCCAACATTAAAGACATTTTGCCCCACAATAATGAAAAACACCATTTTGAAGGAGAGCTTCACATTGATATCAGCATATTCAGCATTTTTGGAAGCAAATTACAAGGCTTTCTCCAACTCTAGGCTTTCCTGCTTTGTCCCAGTCACTTGGTTGACTCCCCAAGGTCTCCACCAAAATGTAGCTCATTGGCTAAGTTACAGAAAAGGAGTCTTAAGTAGAGCACTCTATTGAGGTTTGAGTTTTCACTTTAAAATGCAAATGGCTGGTTGTTAATTCCCCTTTGGGATTTAAGAGCTGAATTTAAAATGGGAAATGATGATACAACAATATATATCAGAAAGTACTGCAGTGTGAGAATGAAATCTTCGCCACATGAATGCAGATTCTTAGGGTCAGCAGACATCTTCATTTATCTGTATTTTAATAGTTTCCCTCAAAACTGCTTTTGGCTAAATTCTTCCTCAGCATACTACTTGGTACACTCTCAGTGGACAATTTTAAGGGCAAAATTTGACCATATTTTCTATTTTCTAAAATCTCATAGATCAGCATATTTAAACACATCAATATTTTACTGGGTATGATAATACCCTCATTTCTGTTAAGATATCTAACAAGACCTTTTCCATACTTACTGAAAATATAGCTGGATGACAGGCCCATTTGCCAATTCTTTGTCAACTGGGAAGGCTAAAAAGCAACAACAACAAAAAAAAATAGCCGCTTAACATCTCCCTTTCTTTTTCACAACTACCATTTTACTTCTAATGGGGGGGAAATAAGCATCTCTAATTATGTTCTTAGATCAATTTATGCTTAAACACATATACACATACAGACACACTTCTGCAACCTTACAGGGACCTGGGGATGAAAGTGTTATAACTGTCGTTAAAATTCAGAGTATTTCCCTCCTTGAGTGATTAGGCCTTAAGTAACTCAACCAGATTCCTTCTATTTGTTCTGTCTTCTGGAATATATATCTTTACATAATGCTTCAAAAGAATCACTACTATGCACACAGACACTGGCAAAAACAAATCCACCAGTTTTCATAAGCTTTATCTCAGCAAAGGATGGAACTGCATCAGCATGAGATAAAAACTACATATCACAGCTGGCTACTGCAAAGTTCCTGGTCTAAGTTTAGAAGGGTGTAAACCTGGGATCAAGCTGATAAACTAGAAATTATTTGTATTTGGATATGCTTCCTTTGGCACATGGATGCAGAATTGTGGCCAGGAAGCACATGTGGGGGGTAAAAGGGGAGCAGACCTCAAGCCAGGCATTCCCCTGGCCATCACCATGTGCTGATCCAGCATTAGCTGGATCATCTAGAAAAAGCACAGGGGTAGATCTCTTGGCAGGGTCAGTAATTAAATATTTGTACCACCTCAAAAAAACAATGACTTATACAAGCCTTATTTCAAGCTTTCCCTCTGTCTGTACAAGAATGTATGAAATAGTAAAAACTTTTGGTTTTGCCCTTCTTTTTGTTTCCATGTTTTTCTTGCACATTGCAAGCTGTCCGAGTTCTCCGGGCTACCTTCTCTTTTTTTCTTTTTTTTTTTTTTTAATTAGACTGACTTCAGTCAAACCCTAGATCTGAAAGTCCCCAAACAATCAACAAAGAATGTATTTCAGTGTGGTAAATTTGAGAAGTCACAATAAGGGCTGTGGTATGGTACCATGATATCACCCACAGAGGACTGATACTTCACTGTGAATGGAAAGAGCATCTGGCACGGGGCAGGAAACGATTTACCAAAGGAGCATCCAAGAAGTACAGCAATGAAAAATAAGATTCAAATGAGTTTATGGATATGTAAGTTGTTGTCTTTGTTGGGAAGATGTTTCTTTAAAGTCAGGGAAGGAAAAATATTGCACATTATGTCTTTTTTCCACCTTCAACTCCAGTGTTTGCCAATAGCTTTTTAACAATTGCACGATTCACTATTGAGTATTCCACACTGAGAGAAGCCAGCATTCTGTACAGCACAGGGCTCTTTCAGTCCTTTTTATTTCATATTTCTGTTATCAACCAACATGTCAGCTGTGAAATAAAACCTGGAGAAAAACTTTGAAAGGAGATAAATTCCCAGCAGGTGTCACAGAAACAGTGAATTGACATTTAGTCTTAATTACACCTTCTGTGGGATTTTGCAGTGTTGCAGTTGCTCTATACTAAATTAAATAATATTATTTTAAAATGCTTTTTTCTACATTGAAAGAGAAAGTGAACAGGTAAAAATAAAACTAGGTAAGTGATGGGGAAAAAAGAAAAACAGGCATCACCAGCACTGTTCCTACAAGTTCTGCAGGGAATTAATGAGAAAATAGCAGAGAAGGGGAGCCAGGCAGTGCTAAGATGAATACAGCAAATCACAGAATCCCAGAATAATTTGGATTGGAAGGGACCTCAAAGGCCATCTCATTCCACCCCTTCCATGGGCAGGGACACCTTCCACTAGACCAGGTTGCTCCATGCCCCATCCAACATGGCTGTGAACATTTCCAGAGATGGGTCAGCCACAGATTATCTTCTCTGCACCTTTACAACCTTTTGAGGTTGAGGAGAACTACTAAGATGTGAAGCAGCTCATTCAACATTTAGGGTATTCTCAGGTGAAACAGAACTCGTCATGGAGATGAATTCAGCCCATATCAAGCTGATCCAAGTAGTGAAAAATGACCCTGTCATCTTAGGCCTATTCCTGTTCTTTGCCTTCCTGAATACCTCAGCAACTATAAGAATACCTTTCAAGATAATCTTATCACAGTGGCAAAGACATTTCAGTGTAAAAATGAGCTTCTGAGGGGCTGGGCCTGCAAGATGGCAAGTCTCTTGATTAAAAATACTCAACATTTGCTTTGAGAAATGCCATTGCTATTACCATGCCCTATTACTCAGGCAAACTCACTAAGCAGCAGATTTTCAAAATCAGGGATCAAAATCTTGGCTCTTTTGATAAACTTGAAGATTCCAGATCCTAACTGAGCTCCCAGTGGGGTGTACTGGCTTTAGAGACAGTCTTCCCAAGCAAACAGATTTAAGAGCCCTGGGAAATACCAGTTGTACTTTAACAGCAAAACTCTGGAGACAAGTCTCCAGGGGGATCCCTGCAAAATGAAGGCAGAGCAAACCTGACATGATGCACACTAGCACTATCAGCTGGAACTGCAGCAAATATTTTATTGTGAATTGCAGCCTCATGCTCAGGCAAGCAAATCTGGAATTCTTCCACTATGTGCAGGCTGGGGTTACAGGAGTTCAAAGCAACAGTTTACAGTTCCATAATAACAGGGAAATGCAAAGTCCTCTCATAACTTAATAATGTACATCTGCTGCTTTGAAAAAAAACACCTTTGTTTTGGGTCAGGCTTGCCAGGTGCCTCGACACACCTGAGTACATAACATCTGGGTTATCACCAGAACTTTGACAATTAGGATTATTTCCTGAAAAAAGACTGGCTCAAAAGGTTATGTTCTGTTCACAAAAAGATTTTGGGGAAGCAAATTTGTTATTTCTTCCCAGGCTACAGTATCTGCATCCTTCCTCCAGTGTTGTTTCACTGAAGAACAGCAGAAGTCCTACCAGCATTCCCTGCTCTGGGCAGCGTTGTGTTTTTCCCCTGAACAGCACATTCTTATGCTTTTCCTGTCTGTGTGACTACAGAAGTTTCTTACTTGTAGACATCTGCACACAGGCAGAGGCTGCAGCTTCAATCTTAATGGCTGTCTGGAATGATACCATTCTGGTTTTATCAGCTTCAGAGATAAGGCAGCATTAACTCCCTGAAAAATCCTGGCACTTGCTCCATTTGATTCCTCCTGTTCTCCTAAACCAATTGTTTTCAAAGGCATTCATATATCTGTCTACAGTGTGGGTGGAACATACTTAACTTCCAACTCAATTAAGTTGGAAAACATTCCCTCCTTTTAAACTAATCACTCACTAAACAAACATGTCTCTTCTACCCAGACAACTACCCTCTTGAAGGCCATATCTGACAACGAAGAACCACACTACAAAAATATTTTGAATGCAGTCCAAAATGACATCAGTCCCAGGGTCTGCTCAGACAGCACCTGCTGCAGGGTCAGGACTCACACAGGAAACCCTAGACCCCAAGGTGGTGACAAGCAACACAACCCCACCCACATGCCATAAGGGAGAGTTCTTCCACTTAAAATCTCAGAATGCTGTAAGAAAATGTCAACAGTGTTTTTCTTTCCAAAGACCTAATTTTTAAAATGTTATGATAAAAAAATTTAAAATAACTTAAGACTGTGGTAAGTAAAGGCTTGAAATTAAGGGGAAAAAAATCCAACCACAACTGTATTTTATTTTGTGCACCAGTCTTAAAAGCTCTTAACAAATAGGGTAATAATACAAATACTATATTTAAGACAGACTCAATTTATACCTTTACAAAAAAAAATCCAAACCAAAACCAACTTCTCCAAGAACCCATGACTAAATCGGGACTAAGATCTACCTTTAGCAACTGAGCACCAGTACACCACTAAGTTAGACTTCAGAGTCCACTAATAAATCCTCCTGATCCTAAGCAGCTTCACTTGGGACTACCCTCCATCCCGCACAAGCCCAGGAGTCCTATTTAAGCCGAGCTTAGGGCTGCTGCTTCTCGTCTGAGTAATTCTAGAGGAGTACTGGGTTTTAGCTTAGTATCAACTATAACCGTCTATGGATCTTACATCTGTGCTATTGCTGTAGATTAGGTAAATTACTAATGGATTTTGTCTTACTTTCATTACCAGCCTACATCATGACATGCAAATTTGATTCTAATTCTGGACTCAGGTCTGCCTTGTCCTGTTGAACTTGCCTGCTGACCTCTATTTTTGAGTGCTTGCTGGATGTCATATCTAGATGAATCTTAGTTATCTTCTATAGGTGCTGAAGGATGGAAGAGGAACTGGTGAGTATTCCACAAGCTTGGACATCCAGACATTTAGATAAGAGCTGGAGCTATCCCAGGGGTTGTTTTTTTTTTTCAATTTCTAAAACTGCATCAGCTGTAATGAAATCTCTGTAAAAGCCCTGTTGCCCCACTAGAACAGAGTAGGCAGCTGGGAATGAGGAATGTGCTAGAACAGGAGGAAACAAAAGAAACAGTTTGTGTAGTCTGACAAAACAAACCTCGGTGAGGATGTGACTGCTGTCTATAAACACATCAGGAGGGTAAACACTGGGGGTAAGGATAAAGATCCTACTCAAAAGGTGTAAGTAGAAGTAGCCTTTAGAAAAAAGAACCAACTTGTCTTCCATTTTGTTTTTAGTCTCTTGTTCAAAACTGCAAGAATAAAAGTCTCAGTTTCTCATCAGGGAAAGCCTGCTCAGGTTATATACTGAGGTGTCTGGATTTGGTAGCTTTGAAACCCTCTGCCAGCTCCTACATCCATCAGAAGGTCAGACTTCTAATTTCTAACTTCTGCAGAAGAAAGACTGACCATGTGACAGAAAAATATTTTTATCCTTATACATACTGAAAAAGGATACAATTTTTCCAGCTAGGAAATTTACTTTTAGCTGTTCTATAAAAAGCCAAGATAAACAGAGTATAGAGTTAGTACATGTACTAAATTAAATTTTAAAATACAATTTTTTTTAAAGAAAATATGGCTGCTGTCTAGACATCTACCATAAGTTATCACTGAATGTGGTTTTATGTTACCTCTTTTATTTATCTACCAAATGTATGTAGAATCAGGAGGAAGATCCCTTCTTTCCTGACAGGTGGAGGAAAGTGTCATCTCATCACTACATTTTGAAAAAGGTTGTCAAAGGCTGTATCAAATCCTTTCCCAGTGCTGGAGACAAATCTTCTGGAAAAATTAGTAATCTTGTATAATGCACTATAATTTTAATAATTATTTTATAATTTTTAATAGAGTAATAATTTTAATAGAGAATATTAAACCTTTATTTGACTTAATAAAGAATATTAAACCTTTATTGACCTTCACTATTTCTAGTGAACTCAGAAATATCACAAAGCATGGAGAGCTTCCTGAGTCATTCTGGCCTGATTAATGGAAAGGAAACCCAAACACCCTCTGTGTTTACTCTGCAGTTGATGCACAAATTACTTCCTACTAATGGCAATGCTTCTACATAACCAGGGCTGGGTTGTGGAGACATCTGAACTCCAGTGGGAAACCAGCCAGTAGTGTTGGGTGCTAGCAGTTTAGTGCTGTCAGGATCTTGGTAGCTGAGATCCTTCCCAGAGAAGAAATGTGTGCACTAAATTAACAGTAATCCCAGCTAAAGAAGTAGCTGGCCTGGATTTGAACTACATCTGTCCAGCACAGATTTCTGGGAAATGCTCCAAGAATGAACAAGTCTGGCAATGCAAAGAACTGTGTTGCACTGGAGTTACTGTACTTGCCTAAACTGGGCTGGCTGGAACAACATGTTGCCTGCAGAAAGGCTGGGGCTCCACAGGAGCAGCTGAGCACAAGAAGAAAAAATCAATTTCTAACCCTGCAGAATCTTGCAAAGAGACAATTTGCAGCAAAAGCTGTGAAATGCCAAACTCCCAGTTGATTTCCATCTCCTTAAAACATGGATGACTCCTTAAAACCATGGGATAATCAGGAGCAGCAGCTGCCCTTATAAATATTGTTCTAATGGAGTCAGGGAGATATTGGTGTGTAAGTTCCAAAATATTTTCCCTAAAGGCATTTTGGCATCAGGACTTACTTTTTCTATCCCAACACCCCAGTAGAGCTTTGCTAAATAGATTTTCAGTCAACTGAAAAGCTGCCTTTTCCTAAAACTTGCTCTATCTTTTACCAAATGACCAGTGAAAATTAGAGGGCTGGGGGGGGGGGGGGGGGGGGGGGGGGGGGGGGGGAGGGGTGTTGGTGTGATGATGCAAGTTGTTTATTGGCTTATTTTTGTGTCTCTTTATTATTAACAATTGCAGGATAAATGCCACTTGGTTGGGGACAAATCAAGCAAAAAGAAAGCCAACAGTGAATGCATGAGGTGAAATGCTTCAGCTAATGGTATGTTTTTCATTTAAATTTTTGAGTTGATGTAGATACTATTACAATACCCTCAAACTTGTTTTAGTCAATTTTTTTCTTGCAGTTAAAGGGATTCATTCAGCATGTTTGAAAAAAACAGACAATTTTTTTGGGGGAGGAGTGATCCTGAGAATCAAAATAAAACAACTTTATTGTACTTGTATGTGTTTTATATAAGGCCACTTAAATTTATTGTGACTTACACTAAACTAGTGAATTCATGTTTTGCATTCTCTGTGCAGGATGAAAAGTAATTACATTTCAGTTGCATTATAATATAGCAGGTTGTAACAGACATGGGGACAGAGCTAAGTTTTTCCATGTTATTGATTGGAGTTTTAAATCACAGCCAACTGCTGACTTGCATGGGGGTGGGAAATGGGTACCACAAAGCATAGCTCAATTCCATGTGCAGTTTAATTTGGGAATCTAGACCTAAGTACCTACTTGTCATACACAGAATGAGACTGGGAGGTCACCAGGGCCAGGGAGGCAGTGGCTCGTTCGCCAACTCAAATGAGTTTAGAGCACTTAAGCATTTTTCTTTGTCATATTTAATCTATATGTTCCTCAAAATGGGATTATGTCATGGAGAAAATGCCAATAACCCAAAGAAAACCTGAAACATCCATATAGATAGGGAAAACCAGATCTTTCTAGGGGTCTGAGAGAGGGTTGGGGAGCAGCATTAGGGATTAGGGTCCAGGTGTGGGAAGCTTGTTTTTATGGCAGAGACTTAGGAGCGGTTTTTCTAGGTGAAAGGAAGGGGTGAGGAGGTCCAAGGGAAAGAGGGCAGAAAGATGTTAATGAATAAATTAAATGCGGTAGAGTTCCAGTGTGCTTTTCCACAAGGAATCTGAAAAGGGGGGAGAAACCAGTCAGTACACTTGCTTCCATCTGGGAGCTAGTGGAAAAATTAACGGTGGAGTGACCAGAGGGAAGAGACAGAACAGGCAAAATGAGAGAAATTTCTGCAGCAGCAGCATGCAAATGAGATGATGCAGGGATGGAGACATGGATCTGACGGCCTGGGTGCTCAGCAGGGCAAGGCGGATTTTCAGGAGGGTTACAGCACCTTCCAGACTGCAGATGAAGAGGGGTAGTTCGTGTAGTTCACATGAACTATGCAGATTAGAAATAAATAAATTAACTTTGTGTGAAGGCTTCTCTCTCTGCCAGCACAAGGCTGTGGGGGAAACAAAGCCTGTGCTGGAGCATCAGAAACAACACATCAAATGTGGGAATTACAATAGGCATTGCATCAGATGCCAGATACTGCAGGGGACGAATCAGACCAGCATCTGGCAGCTTTGGTGCATCCACAGCAAACTTGCACTGATTTGACTACAAAGGGAAAAAAATAACTTTGAGCCCTGTTTTAGGAAAGGGCACTGTTCTATATTCCAATGTGGGACTACATCTCTTGTGGTGGAGCCACCAAGTCTTCAAAAATGTTAGGGAAACTCTTGGAAAACACAAATAAAAATGCACTTTGATATTTTTTTTTTAAGTAACACATGCAGGTTTTAAAACCTGTAAGAAATAAAGCAGTTTAGTTTGGTTTTATGTATTTCTTGTAGTACTTGTTCTCCTGAAGTTTTAGCATGGTATAATGAAATTGAAGATGGTTCTATGGGACAGAGAAATACATTGGCTCCATGACTCCCATAATTTAAATTAAGAGAACTGCCCAGAGATGTAAAGAAGTATAGTTAAGGGGGGAAAAAACCAAACAAACTTCTAAATTAAACTAATTGTGCTGACCTGAGGTTTAAAACTCATATCTAACATTTTAATATCAAGATAATAAACACAATTTAGAAAATTTGTATCTCTGTGGGCTGTTTTTGAAATTTTGATTGCTCATGGAAGGGGGTCAGTACAACAGGGGATGATTTCAATTTACAACAGCAGCTCTTAATTTAAAAGACTAATCCAGGCTTTAAAAGGACAGACCTAATGGAGTTACACTAAATGGCACCAGGATCTGACCCTCTCGCTGTTCTCCCAGCACAGGGACTGAGCAAAACCAGTTCTGTAAAAGTAGTGATTAATATTTAACCCAAATTTCCCCCATCTGTCCTCCTGGGCTTTGGTCAGTCCCCCACAATGGCCCATTGTGGGATCTGCAGCTGCCCACACTGCAGTGAACAGTGGTTTACACACAGTCAATGAAGCCATTTAGAATATAACTAAAAGGTCCTAAACACAGGGATCGTCTGGCTTAAATATCTACTGACCTACTTGATTAAGGAGCTACCTGAGTGTGTGCTAATGGCAAACAAGTTATAAGAAAGGGATGTTTTTCCTTGCCACTATAATACAAATAGATAAATACCAAACAAAAATATGGCACTAACCACACTGGAATGTTACATTTTTGAACAATAGTAATTGTTATCCTTCTTTGAGCAGACATTTAGGACTCAGACACATGTACCATGAAAAAAATTAAGTTATAGCACCATTTAGGCACAAGGAGCCCTTTTGTGAGCATTTTCTCATGTGTTGACCTTCAAGAGATATTAATAGCTCACATTTCAGCTTTTAGTTTATCAGCTTTAAGCAAAATTCCTGTGGAATCCATTGTTTTTGACACCATTTTAGGTAATTATGCTCCAAGGGGCTGCCAGATAGCGCCAAAGGCGCTGCGGAGAATTGCAGATGGGATCCCACGAGAAGTTTGGGAGTCACCTCCAGGAGGTGCAGGAGGGAGTGGGAGATGGGCGCAGCCCTACCTGTCCTTCAAAATTCGGAGTGAGGGGTGGCGGAGGTGTCGCTGCCCTGCCCCTCCCCACCACCAGGGGGCACCCCCCCTCCCCCCCAGCAGGGGGCTCTGCCCGCGGCGCCCACAGCGCCTCTCCCAGGGCGGGGGCGGAGCGCCGCGATGAAAAGCGCGCCCTGATTGGCAGAGATACCCCTAGCGCGGATGAGAGAGGGGCTCTGATTGGTCGCCAGCAACCGACAGGGAGAGTAAAAATCTGGGCCAAGAACCACACCCCCCCTCCCCCCCACCCCGCTCCCCTCCCGCGGATCGGGGTGTGTGCCCCCCTCCCCCACCCACCCCCGCGCCCCAGCCCCCTGACCTGGGCGCTCCGAGTCTCGAGTGCTATGCCCCATGGTGGCTGGCGGAGGAGTTTCAGCCAATCAGCGCGCGACGCCGCGGCTTGTTGCCAGGCAGATTATGGTAATGAACCCGGCCACCACCCCACCCCCCCCCCCCTCCCGCTCTGCAGCTACCATTGTGAGGTGAGGACAGGTGGGGGGGTTCGAGGCCGCCGCGGGGCCGGCGGCAGCGGCCGAAGTGCGGCACCCGCACGGGACCCCCTCAGGTAACGCGATGGGACGGTCCGGGAGGGCAGCGCGGCCCGGGGACGCCGCGGGGACCCGCCGGGGGTTTTAGACTTGTTGTTTTAGTCGCACCCAAGATGGCGCCCGGAGCTGGCGGTGCGGGGCCGGGATAAACCGTTCGCTCCCGCCCGTCGGGGGGGGGGTGGGCGGGGGGGGGTAACGGAGGAAGAGAAAGGGAAGTAGGGCGTACTCATTCCTTTCCCCCCCACACCCCGCGGGAAAGGTACAGTCCGCTTCCCCCCCGCCCCGGCCGGGATCCTCAGCCGCCCCGGACACGGGGAGAAGGGGGTGCCCCCACCCTTGTTCCCCCTCCCTCCGTGGTACGGTCCGGACCCCGACACCTGAGCGGCGGGGGGGGGGAGGGGGGTGCCGGAGCCATGTTTTGCCTCCCCAGCTCTGTTGCGGGGGGGCGGGGGGGGTCTCATCTCTCCACCATAATTCTGGGCCGCGCTCAGCCCAGCTACCCCGCCCTCGGTGACCTGCCCGTCCCGTTCGCTCAGTCGCTGCCCCGGTCGCCCGCCCGTGTCCCTCCTCGGGCCTCAGTGGTTGAGGCAGACTGGCCACTGGGTGCTCTCACGAGGGGCCGATGGCGCCGCTGCCCTCAGGCGGGGGCGGATGGGGAGGTTGCGGCGGCGGGAAGCGGGCAGTGTGAGGGGGCGGGGGGGCGCTTACGCCTGGTGATTGGCCGCATGCCTCGCGCCCCTTCCTCCTATTGGCCTAGTTAGGGGAGGGGGCGTCTCAGCCCGTCTTCGGATTGGCTGTTGGTGGCCGTGGAGCCTATATCAGGGGTGCGGGTGGAGGTCCCCTAGTGTGCCCGGTGAGGGGCAGTACTGCGGTGGGCTCTGGGAGCTCCGCTCTCATGAGGTTCTCTTCCCCCGGGGGACCTGTTGGGCACCTCTGGCCCCAACAGGACAAGGCTCATGGCTGGGTGGCCCTGAGGCTTGGTGTTGAGGGAAATTAGGCCCTTCCCCACTGCCCTGAGGGAGTTCCATTCGTGAGGGTCCTGATATGAGTAGCAGCAGTTGCTGCAGGTGGATGCCGTGAGGTTCACCGGTCTCCTGACAGTGGTCTTGGTTCCCAAGACCCTGTTCCTGTGGTCTTGGGTATGGTTGTAGCAAGTGGATGCTTGATCTTGTGGCTCTCTTGATCTGTGGGTGTTGGTGTTGAGTTGTCCCGTTTCTTCCTCTCCTGTGCCCTAGTTCCATTAAAAGTGAATTTATGCAAGTTTGTTAAATAGTTGAGTTGGGATGGAAGAATGAGGTCCTGATGCTGTGCCTTTCAGAATTACTCATCCTGAAGGGCTAATTCACCTTTTTTGAGTTATTTCTCTGTGCAAGGGCTATGTGTGGTCACCTTTTACCTTTCAGCTGCACATTGCAGAGCTTGAGGAGGGCTCTTACAGGGTCCCTAAATTACAATTTAAACTTGATCTAGGCTCCTAACAGTAGTCATAGTCCTGAAATGAAGGGTCAGTATTTGTGATGCACTTTTTGGGACCTTGACATCAACTTGCCTAGTGCATTACTACATAGTTATATAGTTATGGTTCTTACAGGCCTTTAAAGAATGATAAGTGCAAAGCTGGGTGTGTGAAACGCCTGTCAGTGTTTCCCTGTGAGTTTCAATGGGAATAGAGACTATACTGAACTTTTACTTCCTTCTGTCAGATTTTTAATAATTTAAGTTTCTTTTTCTTGTAGTTCAGTTAGAAGATGAGATGCTAATGAATCACCAACTGATTTTACAAGACGATTCTTTGCATCTTTCGTGAACACAATAAAATAATTGGCAGTCTTGAGCCTTCATTTCTAGGAAAAGTAGTGCAGGAGTGTGTATTGTTCTAGTCTGCCCTTAAATGGAAGACTCCTTTCTGAAATTGTGATGACTTTTGGCATTTTGCTTCATGGATGCTTCTCTTGTGCGAAGAGACAGCTTTATTATCTTGTTTATTGGATGAGATACCTGAGTAATTGCTATTATTGTTATCTGATAGAATAATTGACAATTTGATTTTAGAGAGAAATGGGCCTGTAGTATTGTCTGCTCTCCTCTGGCACCCTTAGTCCTATCCTTTGCAGAAAATTCTTGGATGAGCTCTCCTGGGGTAAATTGCTCTGCAGTGAGCAGCCACTTCCAGTGTGTTCCTCACCACCTGCATCTGCTGTCAGCTGTGTACACTGAATTCTAATGGACTTCTAAGTTTATCTAATAAAGTGGGCTGGCTTTTTATGGTGGATTTTGTTTGGACTTGAACGTTAGATTTGGTCTATTTACAGCTTTTATCTCCTGCTAGTAAAACATGCAGTTGTTGTATCGTAGCCCTGAAATGGCTCTATATGTCAGTCCCCACCTGTTTGAAGGTGCAGATAGTCTATTGGTTCTCTGGGGTAGTGCAGAGCAGCAGCTATTCTGAAGGAGTTATCTCAGGTATGTGTTTTTGTGTGCAGAAACAAAGTCATTTTATTTTTTTGAATTTTACAACAGGTGATTTAAATTCATAGGAGAGATGGGGGGGGGTGCGTGGAAGAAGGAGAGAGGAAGCAGCACCACCCCCTTGTAGGAAGGGGAAGAATCCCCTCTATTGTAAATGCAGGCAAACCCAATGGGAAGAAATGACGATGTCTGACTCAATTCAGAAGGCTGAATGATTTCTTTATTATAACTATGCTAAAATACATTAATATATTATATAAAAAGGAAGATACTAAAAGTACATACTACTTTCTCTAACTCTAACACAACTTGTAACCCTCTCCCGAGAGTCCAGACACAGGTGGGTTGGATTGGCCACCAGGCTCAAACAATCCTCACCAGAATCCAACCAAGCATCACCCCAGGTAAACAATTCTCCACACACATCCCACATGGGAAAAACAAGGAGCAGAAATAGAAATTGTTTTGTATTTCATTTCTCTCTGTGCACCTCTATGAAAAATCCTGAGAGTGAGAGAAATGTGCTTGCCACACCCCTCCAACTGACAGTTCTTTTGGAAAGAGTTTACTGAAGTAGGAGAAGGGATGTGAGACAAAAATTTGGCAGGAAGAAGCTGGAGGGGAATGGTTTGTTTTCTTTCAGTTATCCCTAATAGAGCCATCTTGAAGGTTGTGTGGGCAGAACTGTAGAAGACACTGATACAGGCATTTATTTTCCTTTTGTTTCACCCTATACTTTAAATGCATATATTCCGTACTTCCTTGCTTTATCAGACTTCTCTCCCTGAGATTTATCAACCAGATCCTTTAGGAAGGCATGGTCACTGCCTCAAGCAGCTGGAGCCCAAAAACTGCAGTATGTGTTTCAACAGCCATGGTACCACAGGGACCTTAGAGGACGAAACATTGGGAAGATAAGAACATGTGGAACGTGGCCATAGATTCAGGAAGCTGAGGGTGGGAGGAAGAAATTGGCTGCTTGAGTGGATATGTAGATGTTGAACAAATGGGAAGAGAGGTGACTAAAGAAGAGATTTGCATATGTAGAATTGAGTCTTTGCCCACTGAGAGGACAGTGCGAGAAATACTTCATTATACAAGAATTAGGACTCAAGAGCAATGTCCTTGGAGAATCTCTTAGTAGGTGTCTAAACACAGCCTATGTAGTCCCCAGGAGGATGTTAACCTCTGCTCAGGCTGGATTCTCTCCTGTATTCTGTGGTAGAAATGGATTTTTAGCTACTTACCTGATAAGTTGTGAGAGAATAGTTACATCAGACTGATGTGCTGTCACCTTCAGCGCCTGGGCACTGTCCCTTTAGGAAAAGGACTGTAACATGTGATGTCTAGCCTTGGTCTAAGAGATCTTTTCCAGCTCATTGCTGCTTTGATGGTGGATGTGCCACAAGGAGATAGATTCATTATGTACAATGGCAGCAAAGAGTAAGTTGGTGTTTGGCTGACCTCTTCTATTTATTATATGACAAAATAAATTTAAGCTAGTTTTCCCTTTGTGGAGATAAATAATTCTTGCTGTCCCAGCCCTAGTATGATTTCTACTTTTAACTCACCAGTAAAACATGAATAATGTGGTTTTAAATTACGTGATTGATAATATTCACATAAAATGCACCAGGGCCAGAGTTCCTTGAATCAGTATGTTCCTGTGGTGAATGGGAATGCAGACAAGGTGATGACAGTCCTGACTCAGTCCTCAATGAGGTTACAAACCTTATTGCTGCAATGAAAGCATGTTCCTGCTAAAGGACTCCCAGGAAATGCACTGACTCTGCCTTCTAGGCAAACTAGGATAATTAACTTTAAGTGTGGATGAAGCTCTTTGCACACAAATGTAATGTTCCTTTTGAGCATAATAAATAATTTTCATATTAAAAGCTGGAGGAAGACTCAGAGTCGTAAAACCCCTTTTGTACCGATCTTGTTGCCCTTCCACATGGCTGGGGTGACACACAGTTTCAGTGAGCTCAGTTGTGGGAGGAGCCAATAGTCCCTGCTGTTACTGCTGCAGGCAACTTCAGGCTATGGCAAGGCTCTTTTACACTGGGAAGTAAATCACATTAGCTGGTTTATATACTGTTATTGTAAAGTGGATTCTAATTTGAGATACTGAGTGGCTTTATTCCTCCCTGAGCAGGGAGGTGGTTTTTTCTTCTTGCTCCATTTTAATATTCGCCCTTTCTCATCCCGGAGAAGGGGCAAAAATGAGTGTTTGGCAGCCAGTGGCTTGGATTTTTCAGCAGAAGATCCTTAGTGAGCCTCACAGAGGTTTTGTCTCTGTATATTCTTGTGTAGTCACAGCATTGAAAGAAATTGTCATTCTTTAATAGCAAGTTTGCCAAGAAAAACAATTTGGTTATTTTTGATTCTAGTTTTTTTTTTTGTGGTGTTTTTTTCTGACTTTCAGAGCTTACCTTTGAAGCCCTGGGTGAGTTCACTGGGTTTAACTTGTGTTTAAAACACTTAGACATCAAACACAAAGAACAGTGACTTTGCTGTTAGTGGTTTTCTCTTACAGCACTGTTCACTCTTGAGCCTTTTGAGGGGATCATGGATGCACCTGTGAGGGGACATGTGGAGTTGTGGTGGCTCAGGGTGTCTAATGCTGAGGCAGCAAAGCTAAGAAGGAGATTGCTGTTGAATAGGTAATGAGGTGCTTTGCCCCTTTGAGCAGTGCTTTCCCATCCTCTGGAGCTGAATGCAATTCATAGGGAAGCTGCTGGTTTAATGATCACAACTCCAGAGAAAACACCATCCCACAGGAACAGGAGGGAGTAGTTGGAAAAAAAATGAAAACTGTCAGACAATGACACCAAGATGCTTTTGAGGCATCAGGAGCAGCAGAGAAGTTTTGTCATTAATGACATTTTCTGGATTAGATGTAAAATGCAAAAACTAAAGAGAGATGGTTGTAGGTCTGTGACAACAGCAGGTTGCAGAAGGTGTTGATAAAAGGAAGGTAAATGTGAATGGTGTTCTGAGACAAACCTGTGTTGTCCTGAAGGGATGGTTAATTTACTTGCAGAGCTCAGAATGAGCTAATATTCCACTAGAGGAGATATTTCAAAGTCACAGGAGCTGTACTGGTTCTTGGATCATGTTGTGTCGTGATTCACACAATATATAGCGACACAGGAGTGTCACTGCCTTATCACTGCCATACTGGAGTGGTACTAGACTATATTTGTACTCTTTAGTTATGCCTGTTACTGTTCAGCTTGTGTCATCATCTAGCACAGACAGGGTGAGGCATGCCTGTTATGTGGGGAGGAAAATGCTGTGTCTGCAGTTATTGTAAATGCTTTAACATCTCCCACTGGCATTGCTTCTTGCTCATGTTTGTGATGCTCATTGTATTGTATGAAAGCATTGGGGTGCTGGTGGAATTTTGGGTGACTATTGGGTGATGTGTCATAATTGTCTCATCTTTCAACTTCCAGAAAAGTAAGAACTTACAAAAAAAAAAAAATTAAGCCAGGCCTCTTATATTTTATAGTGGAGGGAATATAGTTGTGACATACATAACACATACATTTAATATGAGTTTAAGCAAGCTATTTGGATTACTGTTTAACTAAACCTCCATGAGGATTTTTATTACAAAATGTAGCCTACTTTATGGATACTGATAGGATAAACTCAGTTTTTTTATCACAATGCCTTTTATCTTTAAATATCTCTTTTTCTTTTAGGATTTCTGCACTTGAGTTTCAATTTCTGTAACACAGATTCTTACAGTAATCCTTTGGACACAGCAGAGCTTCCCATTGAGGTATATGTCTTGGTGTTTATTTAGCTTGTCTGAAAATGTCTGATGTGTTCAATACAGTGAGAAAAATCAACAATTGAAAAGGATAATCCATGGGCAAACAGTGTGGAGAGCAAGCAGAGAGCGTTCCCTGCATGCCAGTGATTTGGCAATGCTTATGTCCTCAGTTTCACATTTATTTCTCCTAAAAAGCTACCAGAGCTGGGAGAAGACCACAGGGGAATGGTTAAGATTTCAAAACACCGTAACTTGTCAGTGTCAGGGCTGTAATGGGTATTGAGAGCAGGATCTAGGGAAGGAAATAAGATTGTGCAGGATTCACGAGGAGGAGCATCCTATGAAAGATTAGTGAACAAAGTTTGTTTGATCTTCTTGTCATCAGCATCAGAAAACTTGCTCAGGTGTTGGTGTTTTGTGGCAGTTCTATTATCAGTGCCTTTGGGTAAGATTTTTTTCCAGCTCCTGGCCTTGACTGCAGGGCTTATTTCACAGCTGAATTTCAACACTTGCTCCTGCCTCCTGCCCTCTGTACTGCCAGCCCCCAGGACCTCTCTGGGACATGGCCTGTCTCCTCCTGCATTGTCTTCTTTCTTTGCACATCCATGTTTCCAGGGAAATGTGCTTTTCAGTGTGTTTTCATGATTACAGATGTACTGAGGGGAATGCATACCAGAGGTCAATCCTGGGATGAATTTGGAAGTACAGAATTTGAAAGCATCAGCAAATCCTGCAGTTCCTACTATTGTCCCTTATTGCTGCGCAACTAGTTGGGCTGAGCTGTTTATTCTTTTCATTACTGTCAAGAACACAAATAACCGGACTGTTTATAGAATCTGCATCATTGGGGCACCGAATTTGGTTCAATCTTGCTTTATTTTCCCCCAAGATTTTAAGTTAGTGCTAACTTTCAGAACCATGAAATGACTGTCTTCTGCTTTAATTTCCAACTTTTTGGTACTTCTTTTTTCAAAGATGAATCTTAGTTCCCAGCTTTGTCTTTTAAAGACCCTGCCTGAACCCTTCAGTCTCCTTTGTACTCAAGTTGTAAGTTATCTGTGCCAAAATGACTCTGCAGGAGTGAGTCAGCATCTTCCTTCAGACCTTCAGTGTCTGCTGGTAGGGAAGGTCAGCCAAAAATCCTGCTACTTGTTGCACCATGTGGAATTAGCCAGAACTGTGCCTTTCCCTTAATTCAATTAGTAGGTAATGTAATTGGTTTCTTTTTAACAGGATAATTATATTAAAAAAAAATCAAATCGCTCCAAATTGAAACCTCTAATGTTTGTTTTTAATTTTTAGTTTTCTAAGTAGTTAGATAATTGATTAAACTATCGGGTACTGTTAGTGCAATTACCTGAATTGGCTCTTGATTAATACTGGCAGTCTAGGAAAAGAGCTGCTGTGGATAAACCAGCTGAAGAATATCAATAGGATAGATGTTACATTTTGCAAAGAAGTTGTTCACAGTGTATTGCTGACATACATGCTGTCACGTTTCGCATGGGTAGAGGTTATCATATACCTGATGTGTGTATATATTCTGAATAAAGAACATATACCTGATAAAATGAGTGAAGGAGGTCAGTGAATGAGGTAGGATTAGATCTGAGAAAATCTCTATTTTAATCCTTAATAACATAATGAATAGGTAAGAGAAAGGTTCTGTGTAGGGATGGATGGTATTTATTTATAGATCAGAGCATGTGTGCAATATATAAATAAATAATATTTATCTGTAAGTTGCCCTGACCTTCCACACTTTGAGAACAAGGCTGGTGTTTATCACTTGTGTTTGCTGCAGTTAATTTGTTCATACTAAGCTCAGGAATTGAGTGCTGGTACATGGATTTAATTTTAATTTTTCTCATAAGTGCTTTTTGGTGATGTTTTGTATCAAGTAATGTTAATGGAGATGAGGTTTCTGTCCCTGTATTCCCATAACTGGAGATGTTTGGATATAAGAGAAAGTCAGAACAGTTCCTCAATGTCTGCTTTTGTGGGGCTCATGTGTGCTGGGTTGCTCAGCGTGAGACAGCAAGTGTTAACTCCATTCACCAGTAACAGCAAGACTTGGTGTCTAGTGATGCCCAGAAATATCTTTCCCACTGTTTTTCTATGTCTATATGTAATTAACTTGATTTTTTTCTCCACCGCACAGTTCAGTGACGTTAGCCTGAGACTTCCCTGCCCTGATGATTTATCCATGCTGGCCAGGCCCAGTGGAACAGTCAGTGCTCAGGTCTGCACATCTTAGTCCTTGCTGGCAAAATTAGGAGGATTCAGAAAGTACTTGCTGCTTTTTTTACTCCTCCTTATCTATTTTTCAGTTTGTCAATGACAAGCCAAATGCTAGTATTTATAGGGATAAATTATGACTAAAATAATTTGCATTTAAAATGCAAATGAATGAAAGCATCAGCAAGGAGCCTTTTGCTTCCTTCCTGGTGCACAGATGGGTACTGGTGTTGGATCAGCCCAGCAAGGCACTGGATATAAAATAAAGTTAATTGGAGTAGCTGAGAAATGAAATGGGCTCAGCCTCATGCTAATTCCTAGCCTGTGATTTAATACAACATTAGAGATGAAGGATTGGGAAGGTGCTGAACCACCAACTCAAACAATCACCAGAGCTATAAATTACCCTTCTGGGATCGCAATGACAGATTGAGAGGCCCCAGTAAAATTGCAAGAGGTGAATAAAGTCAAGCTTGGAAGCAGTTTGTCAGGATCTTTGAGAGTTTAAGTTTCATTATTCCTTTTTAGTAGTTGGCTATTGTAACACTGTACTAACCTAGGACTGGGGTTTTGTCCAAGGTCAAATCTGTCTGTACATGGAAAACCAGTTGGTGCTCAAACAAAACCTCATTCAGGCAAACTGAGGAACTGATGATGCATCTCTGAATATAGTGTTTTCTTGTTGGAAGCCTCAGGTGCATTTTTTGCATTATTTATTGATTTCTAGGCCTGTAGGTGCCAGAAGGACAATGAGTGTGGATGGTCTGTGACCAAGGAAAGACATGCAGGAAGAATTCAGTGTAATCTTGCAGTGCAATTGGTGCAATGGTTGATTTGTTTCCTCCTTAATGGGATATGGAAAGTGGTGAACCAGTAGGACTTGACCATGCTCAGTGAGATAAGATTTCTGTTCCCTTGTTCCCATAACTTAAGAGGTCTTGTAGGAGGTGTTTGTAAAGCCAAACCTGCTTTACTCTGTGTTACTGAAGTGTGGTAGTGGATAATAACAAATCCCTCATAGTTCCATGCCATGTGTCATGCTGGTTTTAATGTCTCTGTTCCCTGTTTTTTTACAGGCATGTTGCTGAAGATCACCTTGTCTTCTGGAAGCAGAAACACAATGAACGGATGAATCTCTTCAGCCAGATATTACTCCAGTAGATCTTCCCCTCATGGAGCACACAGGCAGGGAGGAGATGGATCTGAAAGAGGAAAGTCCTCAGGTGTGGACTGAGTCTGCCGGACAGGACCAGAACACTACTCAGGTGATTAGCCAGGGCTCTGCCTCTGCTTGGGCTGGATTGGGATTGGTGGGGAGGGTTAGTTCCCATTTGGCCCTGATTTAGAGTCTAGAAGCTGAGCTTTCATTTGAGCAGAAATACAAACATTTCTGTGGTGATTTGAGGTTAAAGCTTCAGAAACTGAGCTGTGCAAATGCAGCAGTGGAGACACAGAGCTCTGAAGTGAGCTGAACAAAACTAAGCAGTGGCTATAGAAGTTTCAGCATCCAAATACATTTATTACCATGTGGGAGAGTAAAGGGTGTTCAGAATAATGAACAAAATCTGTGCTCAGCAGCAGCTGCTTTTGATGGCATCATTTGAATCAGATGGAACTGTGGGTGGACCCTGGGGTAAGTAATACGAGTAATTTTTTTCCAGCCAGACATCTGGGTAATGAGGAAGGGAGAAATATTAATTGTAAGTGACTAATGCAGTCAGGTTCTGCTGTATACAACTTGTTCCTCTGCCTCTGAGACAACACAGCTGGGAATTTCTGGCATTCTGTAAATTGATTTACTCTTTTAAGTATGGTAGGAAAAGGGTGCTGCATGGTATTTGACCCACAAGCTGAGAAATCCTGCCTCTCTTAGTAATTTCCAGCTTTGAAATTTGCAAAGAAAGGCAGTTCTCAACGGCCTGTGTTCCCTTCTCTTTACAATGGGATGACCATGCTGCTGTTTGCACCAGGCAGTTTTAAGGCTTATTGAGTATTTACAGAGTCCTCTCCAAATGTGAAATTGTAGTGTTTGTGAGAATATTTATTGTATGCAATCAGCACTGAGCATCCACGGGGGAGTACCAGGTGTCTTCTGAAGCATAATCTAAAAAACGAAACAAAATGTGTAACTGTGGTATCATTTTATGTGAAAGAATTTTATGTGACTATGAATACTTGTATTCAAACTAGGTTTTCTGCTCACTGTCCAGTTTTTCCTATGCATTGAAAATGCTTTTCAGCATGTAAAGGATGGCAAAAGCTAAAGATATTCCTGTTTTCACTGGAGTCTGGCTCATTTAATATAGTCCACTGATCATCAGTTATGATCATGATGTTCTGGTAAAACGGACTTGTTTAGATTTAAAGTGCAGCCCTAGATATAACTTGTTCCAGTAGTCCTTGGAATCTGTGCTTAATGTTTTTAGGTATAGGTTTGTTTGTTTAAATAGTTGAATTTTCTACTGATGCTGCACATACACACTGTAGGAAAGCAGTCTAATATGCTCTGCTGCTGGCTCTGAGAACTGCAGTACTATAACTTGAGGAGTATCAGAGTTAATAAATTCCGTTAGCCTCTCATCAGACAGCACAAATTGCCTCTAACTACAGAACTATCTGAATGAAGTAATTATCATAAATCCTGAAAGGGATATAATCATAAAGGGAAACAATATCCCAATACATTTAATAGATACATCAGTTAAAATATGAACTTGTTCCCTTAAAAATTTTCAAAGCATCATGCAAGGACTAAGTATGAGTGGGTGCCCTTTGTAGCAGTTACATCTTGAGTTGCAATGCAGAGTAAAGCCAGACACTGATGGGAGTTGTGTCCAGATTTCTATTGGTAGAATAATTGAGTCAGATTTGAAATATATGTTTTTCAGTGCATTCAGATTAGTTGGGACACAAGTTCTCTCTGCTTTCCAAGGCACCCTGTGACTCTGGTGCTGCGTCCCACTGGCCTATGTTGGTGCGAGTCCAGGATCTGTTTGTTCCCCAGGTGCACTTTGTCCCCGAGGGGGGGGCAGTGGCCCAGATCATGTACAGTGACGAGCAGGAGCGCGGCCCTGCGCAGCAGGTGGTTTACACGGCTGATGGCACCTCCTACACCTCTGTGGACACCTCGGAGCACACCCTCGTTTACATCCACCCCGTGGAAGCTACACAGGCATGTGTGGTTCTGAGCTCACCCTGTTTTTGGCATCTAGAAAACACAACAATCTTGTTTGGGATGAAGGCCAGTTACCAGCCAAGTGGTATGACTGGAAAATAGCAGGCAGTCGCTCCCAGCAGTTTTCTCTGCCCACTGCTGAGCAGGGACTTCATGCTGTTCATTTGTCTGATGTGCAAATCTGCTTATCAAAGGATGGTGAGGCTATGAATTATGAAATGCTGGTTACTTCACTGAAGGTGGATTAGATTATGATTTACTCAAAGGTGTTTTCCAAAACAAGGATCCTCTCACCAGAAGTTCTGCCTCTTTTATCCAGTAAAAAGCTAAGAGCCGTATATGTTCCTTCTGGAAGGAACATAGTCTTTGTTTTTTGTAATACAGTTGTCATAATTGATAGTTACAGTAACAGTCATGTCTTTTTGCAGAGCACCTCTGTTTATTCAATGTAATTTTGTGGTCTCTGCAGGGTTGCTGATTTTATAGAACTTTTATATTCATTTTCTTCTGCATAATCATATAAAATAGCCTTTATTCCCTTGCAGCACATGTTCATATGGGGTCAATATGCTATGCATCTCTGCCTCTGTGTGGACGGATTAAAAAGGAACAGGCTTGCTTTGTCCGGAGTGTTTTATAATATCTACTGACAGGGGAGATTAGCTGTGCTGCGAAGTGCATGTACCTGACACCCCTGTCATGCTGGCAGGGCCTCATGTGACACAGTGAGTCTTGTGCAGCTCTCAGCTGTCCCAGAAAACCAGCTTCTATGTGAAGGGATGTCCTAAGAGGACATCTCCCAGGAAGTTACTGGCCAGCTAACTCCAAAACTTTGAATGCTGTCATTGTGTCAAAAGATGTGTAATACTCAGACACTCTTCTGCATCTAAGATGAAATTATCACAGCACTAAAGGAATTTGTATTGCACCATGCTTTATTTTATTGTAGCCAGGCTGCTGCAAGCTCGGATTTTTCAAGTTTTGGCTAAGTAAGGCTGGCCTCAGTCAATCCTTAGTGTTGCTTTTCCTGGGATTCTGTCAAGGCTGTTCTTGCTGAATATTGGAGTTGGCATGGCTTCTATGAAATTAAACAGCATCTTGGCCATATCAAAATCCCATATAGGATGTGCATGATAGTTCTTCAGAAGAAAGCATGCAGCAGTCTTGTGAATTTTCAGGAAGAAAATGCTCACAGTTACCTTCTATCCTGCTTTTAAGTGTTACACATTGAGGGCTTAGATAGTGCTATTGAATTTCATCCTGTAGATTTTATCAAATCAACAACTGACAAAGTGATTTTGGTAAATAAAAAAAAAAAACCAAAAAAACCTGTGAAACACTTCAGCTGTACAGATGCAATGTGCTGCATAAATATATTAACTCTTTATGGAGCATTACCTAAATTTTAATTTCTGTGTATGTAGGTCTACTTGGGTAAGTTGAAGTAGTTTGCTGTGGTAACAGGCAGGTTAGAAGCTGACAAACGCTCAAATGTGGGTTGTTTTGTAGTGGCAAGGTAACTTTTGTGTGAGTTGGGAGTAAAAACCCCCATGGCTGGTTTGATAAGCCTTTTTCACTTTGTCTAGACTCTGTTTACAGATCCGTCCCAAGTGGCTTATGTCCAACAGGATGCTACCACCCAGCAGGTAAGGAAGAGATACTATTCATTTTGGGCCTAAAATTATGAGGGAGCAGTTAGGGAAGGTAAAGGGACATTCATGTGGTGCGGCAGGGTAATGAGCTGGGACTTCCAAGTTGTCCAGTGACAGTCTTGTGCTGTCACCCTGATCAAGACCAATGACCACCTTCAGCATGAATGACAGTAAAAGTTAAGATTTTTTTTTTTAGTTAGTTTTCTTTAATTAATACAAGAATTTAATTAAAACAAGAATTCTAATTTACTGCCCCAGATAGCATGAAAAAATCTTTCAACAGTGTCCCTGCAGCAGATATGGCTGATGTCATCTGAATGTGCCATTTTGGAAAGGCGGGGTTTTCAGTTGTCCTCATGCACATTCTGATCCAAATGCCTTGGAGTCCACAGAAGGCTCTTGAGGGATAGAAAAATTGGATTAAATTCTAGGTTTACTAAAATGTCACAGGAAATTAAGTGTGAAACCTGAAGTTCAGTGACTGGCTCCCTTATCAGGTGTGCTGAGCTTGCCAGTGTGAGGTGGGCTGGGAAGAGAATAAAACTGCAGCCTGTGTTTATAAGGTTATGATAGTTTTTCCTTATTCTTTTTACATCCATCATGGATGGGGAAGTTTTTTATTAACTCTTACTGGTATCTCTGGGGACTGTGCTGTGGTAATCAGCTCTAGACAGGTGCTTTCAGATCTGTGTTGCTTTCAGATCTCTGCTTGTCGTAGACTTAAAATCATTACTGCTTGGTGGGTCTTTAATGACATGTGTGAATGGATGTACTAGATCCAAATCATCACCGAAGCCATCATTAAAATGTGTGTTTATTGACAGTCTTGGGGCAGAGTGCGGGATTGAATCTGTGCTGAAAGCAAATTTTCTTGCTAAAAAAACCTTCTGAATTGTTGGGGCACAGATGGGAAACAAAGAGTGACACAATAAAGGTGTTACCTGTCTTCTCATTCTTTTCATTCTCTGAAGTTTTGTTCTGGAATTTTTTTACTCCATCAATTTCCCTGCATTAAGAAGCCAGAAATTCCTATTTAATTGTCTTAAAATTCATTTCACAAATATAGTATTAGTTAAAAATAGGAGATTATTTGTGCACAGTGCAGATGGCAGTTACAACAGAGGTGATCTGCCATTATTATTCCAGAAGTACTTGGCTCTGTGTCCTCAGTCTGTCTTCCATTCTAACATAGTCTGACAGCAGTCCTAACATATATATTCATTTTCTGGTGAATAGTTAATCTATCATTAGATCAACTCCTGCCTTTGCAGCTGTTTTTATATTGGCATTTCATGTGAGACATCCCTGAACTGACAACTAATGATAAAATAATAATTAAAGCTCCTTTTGTCTTTCAGAAGAAACTTTATTGTAGAAAGAGTGAGAGGTTTATAAAAATAATGCCCATAATCCATGCAGTGCCTAACATGGAAGTGCAAATAAGGGTATGTTTGGTGTGATTAATAGTAGGAAATGCTAATAGGGGTACAAATAGATCCAAGTCTATGTGACCCTCTCCTTGCTGGCACACTGGAGGAATAATGATGCCTCTTGGTTGTCACTTGGCTTCAGAAATGTCAATGCCAAACTGGCATGGTGGTTTCCTCCTCACTGTGGCACCATTCCCTGAAGTCTTTTTGCTGTTGTTTTTCAGGAGTTTCATAAATTGCTCTTAATGCCTCTTTAAACAAAGCAACTAGTTTGGAGTACTAAGACTGAGTGCTTACATTATGGATTTTGTTTTCTGCTCCCTCACTACTGGCCTAATTCACTGTTCTCAGTTTTATCTGATATTTATTAAGCACTCTGCAGAGAGGCAGGAGCTTGGATTTTAGCATAAAAGCTGCTTAACAGTCAGAGACACAAACCAGAAGCCACACGATATCAGCTGTAGAGAAGGATGGAAAGTCACGTGAAATAATGGTGCAAATTCCTGTTTCGATAAGCAGGAAAAAAAAGGCAGGAAAGGTGATTCCTAGGGGATTTAGTTGTGCTTTGTTTTATTGCTGAATGGATGAGATGCATTAATGTGGTTGTTACAGCACAAAAAAAAAGAGTATGTAAACAAAAATGTATAGTGACCAGATGTAAAGAAAAATAATTGTTGGGATCCTCTTGTTTGAAAGCTTGATCTTTTCATGAGGTCAATACACCATCTTGGTTTTTTTTTTGGATCCTGGATCATAGAATCACAGAATGATTTGGATTTGAAGAGACCTTAAAGTTTATCTAGTTCTAAACCCCTCAGCCTTCAGCAGGGTTTGCTTGAGGAAAGAAAAAGTCAAGAAAAGAGGAAATGCTTTTCAGTCCTTCTTTACCTTTTCCCTTGAAAATGAAAGTAAATTTGAGCATAGAGGAAAAGAGACTGGTTTTACCAGTCTTACCAGTCTTTAACCAAATCACTGGTTTTACCAAGATCTAAAGAGCTCCTTTTAGTGCAATTGAACACATGACCTTAATTTAAAAATGTGTAATAGGTAATTCAGAATTTGTGAAGTCTATAGATTTGAAGTCTTTCCCTTTGTCCCAGGAGCTGCAGGTTCTGTCCAAGCCCATCAGCCCTATTTGAATCCCAAAAATCATGGGAATGATTTTTGAGTAGAGTGCAGGCCTCAAGGAAGCTGTGCATGCTGGTCCCTGCCCATGTGTTAAGTGACTGATGGAAATGCTGCAGTGCTAAAATGAATGCCTGTGATTTTAGGTAACTGTGCTCTTGCCTGCTGCTGCGCAGAGCATGAATCCCACCAACCTGTCTGTGCTCGGCAGCGTTGCTGACCCCCCCCAGCCAGTGGCTCTGGAGCAGGGGCCACAAGCAGATAGAGTAAGTTGCCAGGCACCCCTTCCTTTTTCATGTACGAGTGTACTGATTCCATTGCTCCATCACCTCTGGGGATGAAATGTGACTAAGTGATATGGGAGGAGATGTGAGAAAGCTGTAGTGCAGATTTGTACTGTATTCCCTAGTCTCACTGTGGAATGTGGGATATCTCACTGTGTGGTTTAGGATATCATATATTTAATATACAGAGAAACCTGTTTCACAGATTCACAGGTTCTGTGAGCAGCCACCTTAAAATTCTGTCAGTGCTGAAAAGTGAAGTTAACAGAAGGTGCAGTGCTGACTGTCACAGCAACATCCACTGGGTTTCCTTGCCAGTATTTTCAGGCAGCTCTGCTGTGTGTAATATTTCATGTTCTCTACCTGAGAATCCTGTGTGGGTGATGGAATATATGCCATACTTCAAATGTTGCAGTTCTTTTAAGGAAGGAAAGGGCTAAACTTGAAAATTAGTGGAAGAATGCAATGCCCTCAACTGTTCTTCATGTTCTGTAGTTTATATCTAGTCTCCACATTACCTCACCCCATATTGACCTTTACCTTTGTACTCTGGAGATTGGTTTTGTTGGATTGTAAAGAGAAGATTGTATGCCAAAGTGCAGGATTCTCTACCTTGTACAAAAGAAATTAAAATACAGCTTTAGGCTCTAGGTAATATCTATAGAGCCTGGACTTGGTTTTAAACTTTCTGCAAGGGTTGAGAACTTCTTCTGAGTTCAGTTTCTTCTGAGAACCGAGTCCTTGGCAGGGTCTAGCCAGGGAGTAATACAGGTATTTTGAATGAGGCCATCAGTAGCAGCCAGCCATGGAAAACATCCCTTGGCAGTCTTTTAGCACCTTCCCTTGTCCTCCTCTCTATTACTAGATGCAGCAGGAAGGGTAGACTAGCAATAACCTTCATTGCTTGTCCTTGTGGTTTTCTTCATGAATCAGCTTGAATTGTTTGTGAATTCTCTCTTCAGGCATCATTACCGGTGCATAACCAGGTGTTACCTCCTATGGAGGCTGTGGGTGGTTCTGATCCTTTAGCACCTCTGCGGAATCAAATGGAAAGGATAGAAACAAAGGAGGAAGAAGATGATGATGAAGATGAGGATGAAGATGGGGAAGACACTGACATGGATGAGTGGGATCCAGATCCACCTCGACCCTTTGATCCTAATGATTTGTGTAAGCATGTGCAGTCATATGTAGTGTACTACCTGCTTCCTGTACTACCTGCTTTTTTTCTTCCCTCTCCATTAGACCTTTAGTAAAGAGAGGCAAAAACCATTCAGATTTTAGCAATAATGAGTAAGTGTGAGTCTTGATTCCCAGAAATGTGAATTCAAATTGGGCTGCTTGACTGAAAAGACAAAATTCTGTCTTTAGTGAAGTCTCTGAGCTGATTTGTTCTTATTTTGCTGGACACTGGCCTGTCTGATATTTTAAAATGTAGACAGACTATTGACATAAATGTTTTCCCACAGCTGAGCTAAAGATTTTTAGAGAGAGATGAGGCTGTCTCTGTGCGGGTGTGTAAGTGTCTGCCTAAAAGTCATGTCCTCTCTGCCTTTGTGTTGCAGGGTGTGAAGAGTGTAATAATGCACATCCCTCAGTGTGTCCGAAACATGGACCTTTGCATCCCATCCCAAACAGGCCTGTGCTGACCAGGGCAAGGGCCAGCCTTCCCCTGGTACTCTATATAGACAGGTTTTTGGGAGGTGTGTTCTCCAAACGGCGCATCCCAAAGCGTACACAGTTTGGGCCTGTGGAAGGACCCCTGGTCAGACAGACTGAGCTCAAAGACTGCTATATCCATTTGAAGGTAAGGGTGGGAAAAGGGGAAATCAATTTGGGCCTAAGCCTTTCTTTTCATTAATCTGTCACTCTACCTTCATCAATTCACTAGAGATATTTTATTACTTCCATCTCTGACTATAACTAAGATATACCCAGATTGTTTTGGCTTCAAATCTGCTGTTATTCAGGCTGACACACTAATCCTGGTGAATGTTCTGGCATTATGGTGATGGGATATATATATATATATATATATATATATATATATATATATATATATATATATATATGCATATATTTAGGGTGCATAACATGGAAGGCTGTGAATCACTTTCATATGAGCTGAAGCAGCATCTGGACGTAAAAATAACAGCCACTTCTAAGGATGTTCTGCAGCCATTCTTTTGTGTCATGGTGTAGCCTCAGTTCAAAATATTTTTCTTACCTTTCAATTCATAAGATGTTGGGGAGAGGAAATATTTTTATGCCTTTCCTCTTGCCAAGTAATTGGTATGGGGTTAAATGGGTTAGAGTGACTTTCATCCATTTATTTACTGGTTTCACTAGAAAAAATTGGTCCTTTATGTGTTGGAGTTTAGATCCACAGTCTTAGGAGGGCTCTGGACAGTGTCTGACAAGCAAGTTGTGACCATAGGCAGATTCAGCAACCAAGAGAAGTTCAGCTAAAGAAATGCTGCTTTCTGCTTGAGGGAATGTCATGACTCAAGAAATGAAAGAAAGTGGGTCTGCCAGTTAGAAACTTCCAACTGATGTTTCTGTACCCTACTAAAGCTACAGCTACATGTATGTTATTTGTTATAGTCACTTGTTCATACTATGCCTGACCACTTTAATGAATGATTCTTGGTCCTGAAAGCCTTGGAAGGATCCATTGTGCCTCCCTAGTTACCTGTTGCTAAATATTTTTCTGCCTGTTTTTGGATCTGTGTTAGTAAAGAGAGAAAATTAGCTATGCCTTCATTGCTTCCCTAATGTAACTGTTGCAGGGGCACAAATTAGTAACTCAAATTATTTTGAATGTGCTGCCAGGCAGTTACAGTCACATGTAATTGGATTTTGCTACAGGTTTCTCTTGATAAGGGTGACAGAAAAGACAGAGACTTGCAAGAGGACTTGTGGTTTGAACTTTCCAGTGAGGCTCTGTGTAACTGGATGATGTTTGTGCGTCCAGCTCAAAACCACCTGGAGCAGAATCTGGTGGCCTATCAGTACGGCCACCACATTTATTACACCACCATTAAAAATGTGGAGCCCAAGCAGGAACTCAAGGTATGGCATTGCTTGTGTCAGGATTCTCTTTTTCTACTGATTAAATAGTACCTTAAAAGTTGATCCCTAGTAAGTGCCAAAAACTACTGATGTGAATAGTTTTAGAGCTTTTTTCCTCTGAAAAAAGTCTGGCCTGAATTGAATGTCACTGAAGTCAGTAAGTAGTTAGTCACCAACATATGCATTTTAATGAGCTCTGGCTCATGAGGAAGTTTAAAATAAAAATAGGTAAATTATTTGTCTCTCCCTGTAATGCTTTACACAGCATATATTTTGCTGATACAGTCTAACTTTATTGCAGCAGTCGTATTTTTTAAATTCTGGATGCCCTTTCCAGTTAGTCCTGTGTGTTTCTGGCTTGTTTTCTGAGGCCTTAAGTGAATGTGGTCTCTCCTTTTATCTGGCTTTCCTGGAGCTTTTGAGACTTTGCATGTGAAAAATGGTATTGTGATTTCCCTGTGGTTTGCCTTTTGTTCCCTCTAAAAATTGATTACGTTGAGCTCAAAGCAGTGTGGCTGGCTGAGATGGCCTTAATTTTCAACATTTTTTGGGGCACTGTTGGGGGACCAAAAAAATTTGACATCAGGAAATTTTGTTGTTCTTCAAATCTATTCTTGCATGTAGATTTCAACAATTTGTCTGGAAAAAACAATTGTTTAGTAAGTGCACTTACTAAATCAGGGCAAAAGCCTATTTATACCCTTTAAGAGCAGGACTATCTGAAATCAGTCCTTAACTTTCTTTAAGCTGAATTACTAGAAATCTTACAAATCCATTAAAAGTGTATTCAAAAACCATTTTGTCACACAGTTTTAAATCTGTGCAGACCTCCCTGATGGAGCATAAATTTTCTTGCTTTGTTTGTTAGTAGTGTCTTTTGGGATATAATGGCTTGCTAACTGAAAGGCTTGGTAACTTGATTTCTTCCCCAAGTGGGCATTCATGCACATTTTGTCCATAGATGAAAGTAGCTGAAGCTGGGAAGTTCTGATTTGCCTGCCAGGTGTGTAGTCCAGGAGCTCCAGCCTTTTGTCTTTGTTCAGCTGGTGGGATTTTTGCAGAGTGACACACCTTCTGAAGAGTCCTTGAAATCCTACTCACCTTTGCCTGTGGCCCACTGCAAGCTTGTTTGAGTTTTTTGTGATAAAAATGTTAATAGCTTCTTTAAGAAATACTTTCTGAAATCCACTCTTTTTTTATCAAACAAATGAAATGATGGAAGAATTCTCATCTAAATGTGAGCATCTGCTTTTAGGCTTTAATGAACTTTGTCTTCCTGCCTCTTGTGGTTGCCTTTGCTGAAGGCTTGAATTCCTTGTATGACAAAAGTGGGTCTGCCATGCTGGTGGCTGGCAGATTTTAGTTTTGGGAAGCAGGACCATATTGCTCCAATCCTTCAGAAGCTCAGAAGCATTTTAAATGAGTCTATGTAGATGGTGCTGCCTACTGTCTATGTAAGGAGAGCGGGAAAGAAATGGGAAATCCCCCAAATTAATAGCATTTCCATTTCTCTTGGTACAAGTATCAGTACTCTGATGACATTCTTCCTTTACAGTCATGTAGCTGGGTTTGGAGAGATTAATCTTACTTCCTTTAGAGCTACTGGAAACCATGTGCGAGATAAACATTCGTGTTAGGAAGCTAGACCTTAAAATTAAATGGATGTACTTCCTGAATAAAGCTCTTTCATTCCTCAGTGGGGCCACACTGATCTTACCAGACTTTATTATTGAGGATGGAGGGAGCAATAAGAGTTAGTGGTTGAGACAAATGAAGTAACTGTATTGCTTAAAACCCATTTTCAAATAAATTTCCGTTATTTTTGGCTCCACCTCAGTGTCCTGTTACCTTGTGTTCCTGCTGCAGGTGTGGTATGCTGCCTCCTATGCTGAGTTTGTGAACCAGAAGATCCATGATATAACTGAGGAGGAGAGGAAGGGTAACTTGGGATCTTCTGCTTTCAGTGTGGTGGTGGTTGCGAGTTGCATTCCGTACTTTCAAGTATATGGCCTGTATAGTGCTCCCAAATTTCTGCTTGGCTGGGAAAAGTTAAACCAGATCTACATTTCTTGGGGCTTATTTCCAATAACTATTCTCACGAGACTATTACCTCAATTTAAGCCTTTGCTTCAGTTACTGGGAAGCATTAGGTTGCTTCCTCCCAGGAAGAGTTCTGTTTCTGTACTCACTGTCTACTGTGTGACTGCCTTAAATTTAGAAATTTCCCTTGGTCTCCCTTAACTTACGCCAGAAGCACACTCCTGTATGTGCTCTTCCATACAAGGGTGAATTTCAGATCCCCCTGAATTTCTAACAGTGTAGATACTCCATGGGAATTGTCCTCAGTGATCTTTCCATGTCTCTGTGATGAGCTATGATCATGGCGCAGTGCAGAGGACATAAAAGCAAAGACCAGTAGAGCAAGGCTGGATATTCTGCAGCCTGTCTAACCTTCAGGGAAGAAATTTGGACCACAGAGGACAGAGAGGCTGGGGGCAAAAAAATGAAGTGTTTAATTTGCGATAAGTGAAATGGTGTTACTGATATTTCTGACAGTGCTCAGGGAGCAGGAAAAGAACTGGCCGTGTTACGAGTGCAATCGGCGTTTCATGAGCTCAGAGCAGCTCCAGCAGCACCTCAACTCCCATGACGAGAAGCTGGACTTCTTCAGCAGGTACTGACAGCCTTAGCTTCGCTTGTGGATCACTGTGGTGCTTCACCAAACATGCAGAAAGGAGGGGCTTTGTCCTGCAGATCTTAGTGACCAACTCAGGAGAGATCAACTCAGCATCAAAAGGAAAAATCATGGCAGCAGGAGGCTGATTGGTAATAAGAGACTCTGTGAAACAAGTAGCTTGAGAGAAATAAATAGTTTGTTGAAATTAGTGAGTTTTTTGTTTTGTTTTTCTTTTGACAATGACTTTAAATATTTGTAATGTTTCATTATCACGGTATTGAAACACTTTGTTTCTCAGGGATATGGAAGTACAGAGCTTGCAAAACAAGGCTTCTAGTGCCTCACTGTACCACTGGCAAGATAATTTACCCTGACTTATTAAAAACTGAATCTACAAACACCTGTCACAGAGCAGAAGATATTGGTGCTTTCTTTCCCCTGAAATGTAGCAAGTGACTCTGTTTTGACACAAAATTGTTCCCTTCTGTTTGGTGCCTGACATCAACGGCTGAGTGCTTTTTGGGGAGGAATGTTATGGCTTCAGATTTTAAATGGGTTTCCTTGTGCACTTACTCCATCATGCTGAAAATGCTTCCAGCACAAAATAAACTGGGGTGTTAGAAGAAGTCTGCTATGGCAGAGGGCTGGATGGAAGCAAGTAGTCCTCTTGGTCCCAGGATTGCTGATAGAAATTTTAGTGTGTTCTGAACCTTGGCTTCTCATAATGCACAAAATAAATACATATCAGCCAGAAACCCATTGTTTTTTCTGCCAGAATTTATTTTGTTTTTATTATTTACTGCATTATTGTTGCTGAGTTGAATGGGTAAATAGGAATGCTGAGAAAGAAAGCATAAAATTAGTGGAGAATCCAAATCAGTATTGTTTTGTATCTAACCTGGAGCACTCCTGTATTCTTCAGAACCAGAGGTCGAGGTCGCGGGCGAGGAAAGAGAAGATTTGGACCAGGCAGACGCCCTGGGCGCCCTCCCAAATTCATGCACATGGAAGTAACCAGTGAAAATGGTGAAAAGTGTGAAGAAGGAACACAGGTATATTTTTGGAGATGGGGGGAAAAAAACAGCACATGGAATGTAAACACTTGACTAAAAGAATTTGGGGCAACAGTGCAAACTGAGGGTGTGCTTTGGACTTACACATGAGTAATTCTTGGTTTCTAGCTGGAATTATCTGCCAGGAGAGCACACTACTTCCCTATTATAAAACCTGTAAAATCACTTGGATTTCTGCAGCAAGTGCTTAGTAGTGAGTTAGGTTATTGTGACAGTTTAGCAGCCTCACAGAAGTAATTTAGACAGTAAAACTGTAATAGGAATTTAGGTTCCTATTTGTCTTTTATGGAATGTGAGACCAGCCTGCTCTTATAACTGTTGCTGGTAGAATTAAATCAATTTGAGATATGGTTCTCTATGATGTTTTAATAACAGAAGGGCCTCCTGTAGGCAGGCTTATTGCAAAATGTTATTTTGCTTGTAGCTGTTGGTTATATTCTGCAGGGATGTATTATGATGCATTTAAGTAAAAAACTAAATTCTCTGATGCTGACCATGCTTAGGTTACCACTAATTCCCTTTATGAGCAGTGGCAGAAGGGATCAGTGCTCTGGTTTATGACTTAGCTGAAAGCTGATATCTGGAGTGGTAATTTTCCTCTGGCTCTTCACTGGGTCATGGCTCTGTGTTGTCTCAGATGAAGGAATGTATACTCCGCCTGTGAGTTCCTGATGCAATGCCCTAAATGCTGCATTAGGTGCAGGCAGTTGTGAGCTTAGCCTCTCTACAGGCTGATATGGCACATGCCAGCCTCATTTAGACAAATAAACCTAATGCTGGTCCCAAACTCTTCACTCTGAGGAGATGACACTTGCTGGGCGCAGTCCATTGTGTGAGTGGTCTCTGGACTGGAGGTGGCTTGTGTCCTGCCAGCTTGGATCATGGCCCAGAGCTGGCTCATGTGTGTCTGTGCAGTGGGATAGGATGATGCCCCAAGCCCTTGGAGGTCTGCTCACCTCGCTAAAGCTGGGCATGAATTCTGCCTGGGAACTGGAAAGTCAGGATGCTGAGAGCACAGCTGAGTGTCACCAACGTGGAAACTTGCCACCCAGACCTGGGCTGGACACTGAGATAGTGTAGTGTTTACTAAGGGTCTCTTTGGGGTAAGCACTCAACAGTTTGCAAGGGCCTCATTCCTTGGTTTTCTTCTCCCACACCCACTTTTCTGTTTTGACAGTGCCAGCCTTCAGCTGACATAATTCAAAAATAATTCTGGTGCTCTGTTTCCTAGCTTGTGCTTTTAAGTTTTTTCAGTTGCATTACATGGTGTAAAATAAGGATCTGTTTGTGGGTTTTTTTGTAATAGTAGATGATTCCATTCCAGAAGAGTTATTCCATTCCAGAAGAGTTATTCCATTCCAGAAGAGTTATCTCTGGATTCCATTCCAGAGAACTCACAGGAAAAGAATATAGACTTTTGGCATGTGCTTCCTGCTTACAACACCTCCCTTTTATGCTAATGTGAAAGGGGAGGATAAACAGCTTTGTGGGATACATGGAAGTGATGTGTGCAGAGCTGGAAACTGGACAAAAAAAACCACATAGCACCCAGCATGATCACCTTGTTTGTCACTCTCTAGTTTGGCACTCTAGATAGTTCCTTAGAAAGGAGAAGACACTGCAAAATGACACACAGTGTTTCAAAGTGACAACAGTTTCCACGAGACAGAAATTCTCTCCTTTTCTGGGTCTGCAGTAGTTGCTTTGTTTAAAGTGGAAATAGTCTAAGGGCAGAAGAACCTTGTTGGCCATTGTCTGGCTAATCAGCCGGGTAATGCTAATTGTCTGTGGCTGGTCAGAGAAAGGGATGGCCCAGGGAGAGTCACCTACCTGCAGCACTGCCTCTCTGGTGCTCTGGGTGACGCTCCTGTAGGTGCCAAAAGCAGCAGTGGACACAGTAGGAGAATTGTAGGAGTTAGTGTAGACACTACACTACGCTGTTTTTGTTTATAGTTTGTGATTGAATATCTACAAATCTTGTTGTCTGATGAGTATTATCAAAGTGTTTTTCAGTGGGTGGGGGGAATAATCACTGGTTGTATGATTTGCGATTTCAGGACTTGCTGCATTTTTCCAGCAAAGGGCAGTTTGATGAGGCCGGACAAGCCCCACTGAATAGGCTGGAGCAGCAGGAACAGACTCCGGTGCCAACAGAGCCACAGGCAGCATTGGAGCAGCAGGAAAACCATGTGCTCCATGTACAGCCACAGCACGAGGGGAACACGGTGCCCACGCAGAGCACCATGACAGCAGATGACATGAGGCGAGCAAAGCGCATCAGGGTAAGCACAGAGGATGGGGGATCACATCCACTGTAACCCAGGAAATGCCAGGCCTGCCTGCCAGGGTCAGCTGGTCTTCCTTTCACTGTTGTATCCATTTCCAAATGCCAAATAAAGTATCTCATTCCTAGCAGTTTTCTTTGCACTGAGGGGAAGACAAATTTCACATAAAGGACCAGTATCTCATAGGTGTTAGTGAGAACTGGTCAGGAGCTGGAGCTGATTGAATTCCATCACAGTAATTCTTGCATGGAAACATGGCCCATCCAAACTGGCAAGCAGGGGTGCTTCAAACAACTGGCAGAATCCTGGTGCTGTGGCACAGACTAATGACTTGCTCACAGCACCATCTGTGTCTCTCAGAACTCTCTTGCAAATAATTGCCAAAGAGGAACCACAACGTCAGTTTGGATCCACTTAGATGATGATGATACTTAGTGATAAAGTTCTTCTTTGGGGTAGAAAACCCTGCCTTTGAGAGCAAAACCTGTGTTAGCAAGAAAACATTTTGAGCCTAAGCTCCATGTCAACTGGCTGAGCTGGTTTTTCCCTACTATGTATTGGAGGGAAATGATTCAAGCAAATAATCCTTGAAGCTTTGTAACTGGGGAAATCAGTTTATTTAGTTTAAAATCTTTTTCTTCCATGTGTTAACTTTGGATTAAGGAAAGAAGCAGTGGGATAAGAGTTCAGTTTTAGGAGATGAGGAAGGATTAGAAAAGAATTGAGTAACTATTCTATATAGGAAGACGTTGAGCCAAATTTTGCTTGCAGTTTACAGTAATACATAAGTAAGACCAATGGTGGCATTACCCCAGAAATACTGTGGCATGTCTTGAAGGAAGCTTGGGCCCATTAAGATTGCACAGTTTTTAATGATACAAAGTGCAATCTCTGAATGACAAGTTTCTACCAGTGATTTCCTTTTCATATGTTAAAAGCTTGGGGGATTTTTTACTGAATGTATTTTGAAGGGTGTATAATAGAGTACAGAGAGAGATGCTGAAGTTTTGACAGAGCATGGAGATGTAAAGCTTACAGTGTGCTACAGCATCCTCAGTAAGAAAAGAAAGCATTGGCCAATTCCCTGAACTTCTGAACCCAAGATGTGAACTTAGGATCCTCTAAAAAAATTAATGTAAGAAGAAAAGTACATAAATTCTGAAGTTACTTCTTTGTCTTGTGACTTAGCTTTTGTTCTTTGTAAATTCATCACAAATGGATGACAGCTCAGAGGAGTGCAGTGGTGGTTCAGTGATATGTTTGTATCTCAAGTCTTCAGAACTTTTCATTTATCTGGCAGCTCGTGTTCAGGAGAGTCCTGGATATGTTTCAAGCCAGAAGCACTGGCAGAATGGCAGATGGATGGTTGCACAGACCTTTCCATATTGCATCAGACTGTGAGCAATGAGCATTTGAGATAAGACTAAACCAGCAAGCATCTTTTTTTAAGCACTGAAAAATCACCCTCTGAACACTCACACAGCACCTGCCTACAATAACATGCACTTCATAATAAAAGCTAGCAAACATTTGGGTTTTAGGTATGTGATGCATTATTCACTTCCAAAGAATAGGTAGAAAGTCCTAACTCCAAGTTATGATTCTGAAACCTGTGTAGCTCTTATTCTTCCTTATTACTTAGATAGGATTTAGTTTTCAAAACCAGTGAATTTTGTGAATTGCTTCAGCTTTTCTAAGGCTTAAGACAGTGGTGCTCTGAGACTGTTTTCATACTAGCTGGAAGCACTGATTTGTCCTACCCCAGGATTCAAGTCCTGATAGGATCAGTTAATTTTTCAGCCTCTGCTTTAGAATCTGTCGGTTTTCCTTGGAGATCAGACCTTAACTATGGCAGCTGGGGCGGGGGAGGTTCCTAGTATTGAAAAGAGATACACACACCCTTCAAGAACTCTTATAGAAAATTAGAGGAACATTGTGGTCCACAGCCAAAATGAATATTTGTTTTTAGTTCAGTTCTGGGCAGTATGCAGGGTGTCTGTGTGCTAATGCCAGAATCAGGAGGGATAGGAATATTATTTGGAAAGCGCAGTCATTTCCTTTGTGGTGAAAGAAATGCAAGTGGTTGTGTAACAAGGAGCACAACCAGTAAAATGAGGTTAGAAAAAGTCCCTTCTCCTTAACTTTTTTACTCTTCTTATCCCTACCCTGTTGTCATCCTGCCCTAATTATTCCCTTCTGCTGAAAGCATTCTGTTCTCTCTATGGTTGGGCAGTGCACATTGCATCCCTGTTAATTAGCCCTAGGAAAACAGGAAAGGTCACAAAACACCTTCAGGATTATCTGTGGTTTTTATCTTTGCCCTTTTAACTCCCCTTGAGCAGTTACTAACTACAGAGTAAATCTGGAAAATCTGTTTAGTGTTTCCTGAGGCAAAAACCTCAAAGCAGTAAACTCTAGTTGGAAAAGCCCTTGTAGTGTAGAAGTCAAGGCTTCTGTTTTCTCAAGTCCATTGCATAACATAAGTATTTTTTCTCTCTCAATGCTGCCTGCTCAGCTGGAGCTGCAGGTAGGTTTGGGTTTTTGTTTCATTGGGTTTTTACTGTATCTAATCCAATGGTACGTATCAACACCACCTTCCATTTTGTTTGGTCCAACTCCTGTTTAGTGTTTCCCTGACTGACCCTGCACCATAAATTGCCACATTCATTCTTCTTTAGGTAACCAATGTCTAGAACTAAGTGTTACCTGAATAACAATTTGCATTTTCCCAGTTCTTTTCACACCAGTTCTATGTAGATTTAAGGTGGATTTTATGGGAGTAAATTGCTTGGGTGAAGAGCTGTAGTATCAGTCTTAAAATTTTGGAGGATTTGTTTGCGCAATTGTTTGTGCCGGATCAATGCTACAAGTTAATGAGACAACACTTAGTTCTTTTGTTCTGTTTTTATAGTTGATTAACTAGGCAAAGAGTAAAACATTTCACCTTCTGTAGCCCTTGAGGGCTATGTTGAGTCTGGCCTGCTGGATTAGCGGTCAGCTCTCTGCTAAGGTACCAGCGATCAAAACTCAAATGAATAGTACAGTTCAGGACTTGAAATGCATCTTTTCACCTATGTTTTATTAGCATCTCCTTGTGGTTAAGGGGACAGTTATATCCTTTGAACTCCAAGCAGCACATCAGATTTTGCACAGCACGTGGCTGTCTTTCCAATTCCCAGTGTGACTTAGAGCAGATCCCTGTGTTTCCCATTGTCTCCACTTGTAAAATGGAGAATGATGATGATGACAGCTCCTGGGAAGCCCTATTTGGAGCTCCTGTATTAAAGTGATCATTTTTTTTGGTAGCAAAATATTTGCTCTCTTGTTCTTTCCTGGAATGAGAGTCTAGGTTTCCCCCTGCAGTTCAGATGGTGAAAAAGGATCTTTGAGGTTCACAATTTAATTCTTAGCACAGCATTTCACAGTATTCCCAAGCTGCTCCCTCATTCCAGCAGAAGAACTCATAACTATTTAATCAGTGTCAGCTGTTGGTGTGCACTTAAAGAGATACAGCAAATGTCAGGTGTGTCAGCTGCCACATTCCCACAAGCAAAGGGGACAGGAAACCAGGGAAATTTGTTTGCAGAAGTCATGAATGGGTCTCATGAAGAAGTGGGTCATACGGAACCCATGTGAGCAGAAGTGTCAGCAATATTCTAGTAGAATCTTAGTGGTTTGGGCTGGGAGGGACCTTAAAACTCATCCAGTTCACCCCCCTGCTATGGGCAGGGACACCTTCCACTATGACAGGTTGATGCAAGCCCTGTCCAATCTGGCCTTGAGTGCTTCCAGGGATGGGGCAGCACAGCTTCTCTGGGCAGCCTGTGAAAGGGCCTTGCCACCCTCACAGCTGAGAATCTTCCTAATTTGCAACTTAAATTTGTGCTCTTCCACATTATTTCTCTAACTATCATGATGTAGATTCTGTGTGTGATGTGAAAAAATACATCAATAAATAATGGTTTATAGAAGTATTTGCGAGAAGAGTGGATATTGCTTAGACTTCTTGCAGAAGAATGAAGCATTGCAGTGTACTTTGAGTGCAGTATGGGTGACAGTGTGCTGGGGGATTTCATAGGACTCAATTCCAGCTTTGCAACTATCCAACATGAAAGTTCTCATTCAATATTAAAATGCAGGTGCAGGACCCTCTTCCCTCTTTCTACAGGCAGTGCATCCAGCAGCATCTGTTCCTCCAGCAGAAAGTGAGATGGCTCTATAACATTTATCTGAAGGGTAAGAAGAGAAAACAAAGATAACGATCATGAAATGTTACAGAAAAGGCAGAGTGAAGACAAACACACAGCAAAAGAAAAAAAAATGGGCTGACAAGAGACCTTGTGCACAGTAGGAGTGGAGAGTTGCTCACAAGTTCTTACATGCTGCTCATAAGGCTGCCATTCTGCCCTTGTCATCATATTTTGAAATTCCGTTCTTTGTGGCAATAGTAAAAAAGTTCAGACCACCATTTCTTGGATGTATGTTCCACTAGAAGTTCTGCAGGCAATGCTAAACCACTGCTGCACATCTCTGTGGTGATTTTTGATGCAGAGGTGATCTTGTAAAGGGATGTGGAATTTCATAAGCCCTGCTCCTGAGGGGAACACATGGTGCTGGCTCACTATTCCTTTATGTGGTGGCTGAACTTATGACATGATGCCAAATAATCGGCTGGAATTGCAGTTTTTCTCTGGCCCAGGTCTGTGCTTCAGAGAAAACTTCGTTTTATTTTACAGAAAAATGGCATGCTTAAAGAAAGTCAGCTAAATCAGAAGAAATCAGGGATGGAGAGGAAACTCCTGCACTGTGTTCCACTAACTCAGGTTGTAGCTGCAGGTGTGTCCCCTGATTTCTGCCTGTCACAGCCTCCCCTGCTGTAAATTGGAGGCCACATATGATGAAAAATAATTTCTTGAAGTTTAGGTTCACTAATCATCAGGTATATTTAATCCTGAATATGCATGGATATGGAATCCATACATGTTAATGAAAGCTAATGGTCTCTTGGATGCTTCTTTCAGAATGCAGCTCTGCAGCACCTGTTCATCCGGAAATCCTTCCGCCCATTCAAATGCCTGCAGTGTGGGAAGGCCTTCCGGGAGAAGGACAAGCTGGACCAGCACCTGCGGTTCCATGGGCGGGAAGGGAACTGCCCTTTGACCTGTGACATCTGCAACAAGGGCTTCATCAACAGTGGTGCCCTCGAGAGCCACATGAAGTTCCACATGGACCAGAAAACATACTCCTGCATTTTCTGCCCTGAGTCCTTTGACCGCTTGGATCTGCTTAAGGATCATGTGGCCATCCATGTCAATGATGGTTATTTCACCTGCCCCACCTGCAAGAAACGCTTCCCAGATTTTATCCAGGTGAGATTCTGCACTGATCTGAAGCTCTGCTTTGGGGGTTTCTCACAAGGCTGTGGGTTTCTCAGTGCTCTCCCTGTGTAACTGCACAGCAGTTCATTCTCACAAGGTGCAGGGGTCCACCTCAGTCAGAACTTGAAAAGGAAGAGTGACCAACCACTGCTAGATGTTGTCTTATGACACTGAAGTGCGCTGTCCACTAAATCATCAGATGTGATGCTTCAATCTGTCATTAGAAGGTGTGGGAGGATGGATTGTAAGAGAATAGAGATACTGCTGAAGGCAATCTCGCCCCTGAGGAGTTGAAGCTGTACTAATAACCAAAGACTAGGAACAACCTTGCCCTTAATAGGTCATAGCTGTGTCCAATAAGGATGGGTGTTACAAAAGAGAGGATTAGCTGGTGAAGAGGCAAGTTAGAGTTAGTTGGTTGTGCTGTGAGGTGTAAGGATCAGGCAGTCATGCAAGGGGCAATATGGGTTAGTGTGTGCTGCAAGGGATGCAAAGGGTTAAGTGGCTGTGCTATAGGGACAGGAAGAAGTCAGCTGGCTGTGTGGAAGAAAGAGGAAAAAAAAGGAGTCAGTGTTGTGAGAAGCTGCCTGTGAGAACTCACTGAGAGAAGGTATGAAAATTTTACAGTAGGATGATAAACTGATAGTGACAGTTCCCATCCACCATTGACTGGTGCCAAACACTGACGCTGACAAGAAGGCACTGTAGTGCAGAAGGGTGAGTTCCTTATTCCCAAAAAATTCCTGAAGCAGAGGTCTTGATCACTACATTTCCATGGCACAAAAAATAATTGTCTTTTGCTGTATTCAGCTTGTACTTGAACACACCTTGCCCTTTGTCATTACAACTCTGGACAAAAAAACGAGGAGTTTTACATCTTTAATCCCTTGCCTGCTTTCTGTCAGGATAATTCATTTGAACAGCTCAAAGAAGTGCCAAAACAGATCAGGATACTCTACTTCCTGACTTCCCCCCTTAGCTGCAGCTGGGCACTTTATTCTCCTTCCTTGCACACTGCACTGGAGCAGTGAGTAATGCAGTTACTCTGCACTATTCTGAGCACTTGGACAAGGTCATTAGTAGAATTTAAAGATTCTATTTCCATGTCCAGTAAGAAAAAACTGAGATGGACCATGCACATATTCATTATCCTTCTTAGGGACAAAGCAATTCATGTGTCTTACTGAGCTACCTGACTGAAACTGAAATGTAAAAATCCGGTTTAGATCAGTAATAGGAACAGATAGACTATCCACTAAAGAGGAAAGGATGAGGGAAAGTGATTTTACTAATATAATTCCATTCTGGCAGAAGTCCTTTATCTTCTGTAAATGTTCAACAAGGAAGAACATTAATGATTCAGAAATGCTGTACTGCAACTTAATTCCCAGTAAACTTTCCCATACAAATGACTGGAAGTCCCATGGCTTTTTTTCCAACTATTCAGTTGTATTTTTGACATTTAACAATGATTTTTTTTCTTCTTGCTGTGTGGATAATTAAGACTAGACACTGCTGCCTACTGAAATACTTCTGTGTGGAACAGGTAGACAAGCCAAGTTGTTCTGTGTATGATCAGTATTAGAAGATGGTAAGGATTTAATTAGAGATCCATTTCTTGAATAGTGCTTTCATTTCAGATGTCAAACTTCATTAGTTCCTTTACTGGGGGGAGGAAAAAAATACCCCTCTAGATATTTGAAGAGGTGAAGAATAGTCCCAGAGTATGGAGAAGTAATTGCCATTCAGGAATGGTGTGCAAATGCTGTTTTGCATACGTTTTTTTTTTTTCCTTTGCCAATTATAATTACAAGTTCATTGTGTCTGATTGAAAGGCATTAGTCCCCATGTTTTACTTTCTTATAAATGAGAGGAAGATAATAAACCTCGGATGAATGTGTTAACTCAAGGATGATTCTGTGCAAATGGTACATTGTAGACTTTCGCTGCCCATTAAGTGCAGTTGTGCAATAGCTGATGCCTTCAAGAATCATTCTTGAGGAAACCAAATCACCTATCCAGATGAGTAATAAAGTTGTTATGGCTTTATAGAAACTATTGCTGAGGTAGCAACTGTTCTGATCAAATACTTTTAAAACCAAAGTATATTAAACACCTTCAAAACTTTTCTCTTTCATATTGCAAAGAGTTTCCTAGATGGTGTTACCACTTACTTCTCTTTTGAATAAACTTCATTTTTCTGTGATCTGCCATTTTAGGTCAAGAAACATGTGCGTAGTTTCCATTCTGAGAAGATTTACCAGTGTACAGAGTGTGACAAGGCTTTCTGCCGCCCCGACAAGCTGCGACTCCACATGCTGCGGCACTCGGACCGGAAAGACTTCCTGTGCTCCACCTGTGGCAAGCAGTTCAAGGTGAGGTGGCTCTTGGCTGGATCATTACTAGTACAAAAACCACTATTCCTTACCCTCCTTCAAGGAGATAAGTTCATGTTCTCAAAGGTGAAAGAAAATAACACATGTAAGCACACTAGACTTGCCTGCGAGTTGCATGCATTGCTTGGTGTCCTGTGTGAACTATGGCATCCATTTCTGAAGGACAAGGGGCAAGGTCACCTCAACATCTTATTTCAAACAGATCTTATTTCTAATAATTTAATAGCAAAGGAACTTTCTATTTGCTTATTAAGAATTGGGACATCATCCACCTCCATTGCCAAATGTTTGGGTTACATTGCTTATAACAGTTCAGTTACCTTGCTGGTGCCAGTGCATTAATAATGTTCCTGGCCAAGATGCCTGTGTCCATAGCATCTGTCTTGTCAGCACATGTCATCCAGATGCCTTTCCAAATCTCATTGGAACAGATGAAGCAGACTGTGAGCCACGTAAACTCTGGTGGCAGCAGCCTGCTCCCTATCACTGAGTTTGTGATGGGACGCTGAGGGACTGGATACTTCTGGGTGAAGGAACACATTTTTCTGAAAGTTTCCCTCTCCTGGAGAGAGGATCTCTGAACAACTCAAACTGTGGCTCTTATGCATAACAGGCAGTATGGCAGTTTGTTTGCTATTGCTGACACTTTTCTCCCCAATTTCTCCTTCCCAGAGAAAGGACAAACTGCGAGAACACATGCAGAGGATGCACAACCCAGAGAGGGAGGCCAAGAAGGCTGATCGGATCAGCCGCTCCAAAACCTTCAAGCCCCGGATCGCGTCCACTGACTATGAGAGCTTCATGTTCAAGTGCCGCCTCTGCATGATGGGCTTCCGCCGCAGGGGCATGTTGGTGAGTGCCTGGGTGCTGTTACAGCCTCTGTACTCTATTCTGACGAATAGGTAAGGAATAAAGATGGAGCTCCAGCATTGGAACACAAGGATCATGAAAGGGTTTGGGCTGGAAGGGACCTTAAAGCTCATCTCATTCCACGTACTGGCCATGAGCAGAGACACTTTCCGCTAGACCAGGGTGCTCCAAGCCCCATCCTGTCTGGTCTTATCCAGCCAGGATGCTGTGAAACAAATTTTGGCACATTTTGTAGCTGAGTTGAGGTGATACATCTTTTTTTAAACCTCTGTGTTTTATTTCTTCAGCAAATTTGCATGTTTACCGCCTGCACTGTACATCTGGTTGTCAGTACCATAATTCAACACTAAGTAATGCTGTCTGATGTGTACTGTATTTAACAGGACATGAGATTAAAATACTGCCTTGTTCAGCCTTACTGCCTCTGTTTTCCAGGCGATCTTTCCTGTTTTTTGTTTCTCCCCCTTCTCGAGGGCCTCTTCTGTTCATGTCTTGTCATTGCCTCTGGCTGTTCTGCAGCAAGAGATTGTTTGCTAAGGTTTCATGGGGGTTCTGATCTGGGCAGCCTTTCACACTACCTCACTCTCAGATAACAGCTACAAGGCAGTTCTGGCAAACTATTTCACCCCTTCCAATCTCATTTTGGTTAGAGAAACTGTAAATGAGACCTAGCAAGACCACATGTACGTTCAGCAGTTGAGTGCACAATAACCCTTGCAGCAGAAAAAGCTTCCAGTGCTGCTGGCTTGCATTGTTCAGTTTTGGTTTGGCTGTTACCCATGACTGGAAGAAGCACCAATCATTTGGCTTCCAGTGGTAATATGTTCGTGTCCTCTGTTTCTCCTAAGGTGAATCATTTATCAAAGAGACATCCAGACATGAAAATAGAAGAGGTGCCAGAGCTCACGTTGCCCATCATAAAACCCAACAGAGATTACTTCTGTCAATACTGCGATAAGGTGTGTGGGAAGTCACCCCTCGGAGGATAGCTCAGTGCCAGTCCTGGATGCAACCAATTTGTCTCTTCATAGAAATCTCTGGCAGGGTTTGTAGCTTTTCTGAGGTACTTGCCAGCAACATTCCTGCAGTACTGTCAAAAAAAAAATACAAAATGCACTTAGGCCAAGGCAGTGGACTGCTAATTGAAAGCTGCAGTTTTCCCCTTTCTGCTGTGTTTGGCATTGGAAAATTTGAATACTATTATCCAGCAGACAGTCACTGACCCTTAGTCTTGTGTTACCACAGGACTAAGTATGCTGTCCGTGTATAATTCTTGGCCAGTAAGTACTTTAGTTTCTGTATCACTTCTAAAAGTTAGTCTTTAGCACCTTTTAATTGTAAGCTGCTAGATCATATCCCAGTGCTCAGTGGAGCCTGAAGCTGCTTCTGCAGTGCCTTTGGGTTCTTGCTCTTATTCTCTTTTGCCTTTTATTCCTGAGGGCCTTTATTTACTGGGGAGTGTATTTTGACTGTTCTTATCTTCAGTACATCTTTCTGTGATGCCTCTTTCCTTTTGTTTAAGGGGAGAAAAAATAGTTTTAATTATTAGATAGTATTTTTTTGTTGATAATGAACAAAATAACTAAAAGGTGTGTTGATCACTAAACTAGAACAGCTTGATGCTTTGTGTCAAGTAGAGACATCAACTATCATAACAAATTAACATTGGGCATTTGATCTTCAAATATGGCAAGAAGAATTTTCCTCTTACCTCCTTGTCCTGCTTTGGTGTTTGGTTGTGGCATACAATATGTTCTCAAAAGGCTTCTCTGCTACACAAGGAGTCAGTTGCTTTTACAGGTTGGTGAAACACTGGAAGGTGTATGTTCATGCCTTTTGTTGTAACTGGGGATTTAACTAAATGTACTCTAAAGCAACATGCAGACCTTCCAGATCAAGATAACCGGTAGCTGTTTCCTGTGCAGACACAAGGGTTGCACTATTTTAACTTTAAATCTTTTCCCTGCAGGTGTACAAGAGTGCCAGCAAACGCAAAGCACACATCCTGAAAAACCATCCTGGTGCTGAGCTACCTCCAAGCATCCGGAAACTTCGTCCTGCAGGCCCGGGAGAACCAGATCCTATGCTAAGCACCCACACACAGCTGACAGGCACCATCGCCACCCCTCCAGTGTGCTGTCCTCACTGTTCCAAGCAATACAGCAGTAAGGTATGGGGGGTTCTGGCCTCAGACAGCCTCTCCCTGGGGATGCTCTTTCACCATGGTCTCTGTCACCTGTCTGTCCACAAGCAGAACTCTTTTTTTCTCAGTCAGAGTGCTGGTTTTGTGGTGTGCTGACTCTGCAGGCACAGTCTGGTTGTTTTAGGGCCAAAAGATTCCATGAATAGAGGGTTTATGCTGAAAAGTTACCACAGTATGATCATGAATGGAAGGGCTTGGAAACTGCTCTCTGACAGTTACAGGGGAGATGAGCAGGGAAATAAAAACACAGAAAAGATGACCTTTGGGAAAAGTCATAAAACACTTGGTGATATTGGGGTAAAAAGCTGTTGAGGACTGTACGTCAGTGAATCAGCAGCAGTTTGTGATACTTGTTTTCAACTTTGTTGACCAGAGGATCTCATATTGTGAATCTCGATGCTGTTTTACTGAGGGAAACCTAAAAGCTGTGTTTGGCCAGGCTGTTGGATTTCACATGGCCCTGAGCAGAGTTACTGACGTCCTTACAACACTCCTTTGCTTCTCTCTGCAGACGAAGATGGTGCAGCACATCCGCAAGAAGCACCCAGAGTTTGCTCAGCTCCCGAACACGATCCATGCACCACTGGCCACAGCCGTCATCAGTTCCACGCCAGCTGTTCTCACCACTGACAGCACAACCGGAGAAACCGTTGTGGTAAGGACTGGAGGCACACAAGGGCAGTGCAGGGAAACACATAGAACAGGAGCCTTCTGGTATTAGTAACCCTGGTTTATTTGGCAGACATCACTTTAAAACCTGTATTAGGACATTATTTAAGATCACTTCTGGTTTTAAGCCTGTGTGGTCCAGTTTTGCACTGTCAGGAGTTAACTTCTTTCTATTAATTTCTTTCTGTAGCTTTAAGGATTTGTCTTTTATCCCCAAATCCATTTTCTTCGTTCATTCAGACCTACTGACTCCACATAATTAACTCAGGGATACATATCTCATGGATTTTCACTGGGAGTTTTCTCCTAAAGTGAGAGATGCAGTTCCTGGCATCAAGAGGACAAGTTTAACAGTGACTAGGGACTGGATCAAACTGTGTTCAGGGAGTCAAATCTTTTTGTAATCCTTTGGACAGCACAGCACTGAGCAAGATGAATCTCCAGTAGCTGATCTCTCTACTGTTAATACATCAGCTGCTGCTCAAGTGAAAGCTGAGACTAGAAAATGTGTCCTTCAATGTTGTGGGATACGTCGTTTTAAAAGTCCTATCGATCACAGTTTAAAACTTCCTATGTAAAGACTAACTAGATAAAAGACTGTTTTGCTCGAAAATTGAGAGGTTTAATCAGGATGCTGTTGGCTTCATAAACCTGATTGTTATGTACTAAATGTCTTCACACATTAGAAACAAATTTGTGACTCTGACAGGGGAGAAAGAAAGGTGGAATATATCCACAAACCACTTTTTGACTTGGAAATCAAGTCAGCTCTTCACAAATACAGGACTTCCATTGTTTAACAGAATACTGGTGTGTCACAAGATGAAAATAATTATTTTTATTATGATATGTTAAGCTAGTCATTACTGGTCCTGACTAGGATTTAGGCAGAAGACAGTAATTCTAGTTGATGATCCTTGGTGACTACTTATGACCCCAACCTCTGGACACATTAAGCTCTTGTGAAAAAATGACCAGATCCACCATAAATGTAGACAAAAAAACTACAGCCCTGACAAAGTACATCAGTATGATGATGATCTGTAGCTCTCTCTCTCTGCCTGCTCAGACAACAGATTTACTGACCCAAGCAATGACAGAGATATCCCAGACCCTCACTACAGATTACCGGACTCCCCAGGGAGATTACCAGCGCATCCAGTACATCCCTGTGTCTCAATCCACAACTGGCTTGCAGCAGCCTCAGCATATACAGCTGCAAGTTGTTCAAGTGGCCCAGGTGAGTAACCTGGTGGGAATCTTGCTGTGCTTTTGATCTCTTCCCTCCCAAGCCTGTGTGTTCTTGGGGCTCTAGCACACAGAAGTGTAGTAAGGAGTAGTTACAAAAAGTGCTGCAGCTACTTTTCACAGGTAAATCAACTGAGAAGGCATAGGGTTCCCTTCATAAGCACTTGTACCAGGCATAAATAGTCCTTCCAGCCTTGATCAGCTTGCTGGAGACACATCGACACAATCCAGACTTAGTTCTACCCATCTGAGCAGCTTTGCTCAAGTCTGCTCTAGGAATGTTTTCCAGCTACTGGAAAGGTGAGTCAGTGGGTGACCCATTTTCTGCAGTTCAAGACTGATTTATACTTCCTTGTCCTCAGTGAGTCAGAGCCAAAATTTGGGAGTATAGAGAGTGGTTGCTTCTTCCCTTCATAGCATTTTCATTCTCTTGATGCTCAACAGCCTCCTAAAAATGAAACCAGAGTGTAACTAGAGTAACTGGTCTTAGGAAAATATCTTAGAGTGCTGTAATAAATCTGTTACCCACTTGAGGAAGCTGAAACTACCATGTGTTTATATTTTAATCTGAAATTCCATGTTATCAAATCACTTATGAATTTGGTTAATAAAGGCCTAAAAAATGGCCTCAGTTGATAGTGACTGTGGTTATCGTAACAATACAAGAGTATGAACACTGATTCCTGCAGGTAGTATTAGCAAGATCTTAATGTTGTAAATATCTAAGACTTGTAATTCAATTCCTGCAATTGGTATCATTAGCAGGGTTGTTCAGAAAAACCTTTAAAAACCTCTAACCATTTGTCTTGATGCAGAGCTACAGAATTGGATATGTAGATCTCGAGTATGTATATGTTGTACAGAGTGATGCTTACAGAGAAGGAGTTAACACTAATCCTGGCTTTTGGACCCTTTGGTTTAGTCCAGTCACTGCCACAAACAGCTTGAATGATGTTAGGCAAGTCCTTTCCATTGGTATCACTGAGATAGAACGATCTCTGTGCCATTATATCTGTTAAATATACCTTATCTCCTGGGGTGCAAAGAAATTCAACAAGGCTCAACAGGTGTGCTCCACTAAGGCTCCTACTTCATTATTCCAGACCTTGTGTCCCAGAAGAGGTTTACATGGCTGCTTTTGTAAAGAATTTGAGGTAAAGACCTCTGCTTAATTTTTTCCCCAGGCTACCTCACCTCACCAGTCCCAGCACTCCACAGTGGATGTTGGGCAGCTCCATGACCCCCAGACATACACCCAACATGCCATCCAGGTGCAGCACATCCAGGTCACAGAGCCATCACCAGCAACTCAGTCATCATCACAGGTATTTCCCTTTTCTCTTCAGAAAATGCTTTCCCTACCAGCCTGCTCAGCTGGCATATTGCATGTGCTGATGCAGGGGATAGTGTTTTCTTTGTCATTTAAAGGACCACACATGAAATTAGTCTCACATTGAGATCATCAAGCAGTGCCCAGATGTTCCAAGGTGTATGGGAGTGTTTTGTTGTGGGTTTGTTTGGGTATTTGTTGTGTGAATTTCTTGGTGTCAGGTGTTTTTTTCCCCCTCAACAGTATGTACAAAGGAGAGATAAATGATTGGAAACAGATATATTTGCAGCTAAATGAAGTTTGTCAGTTGGAAGATGTAAATGGAAACTGGCATTCCTCAAATATTTGAAGTGCGACTCTTCCTGCTCTTGGGTACAATTCAGCCTCTAATCTCAGGTCCCTGCCATGGGCTCACTTTGGCAAGCGACAATATCACTATTTCAGTTTCCTGGTCTGAGCTTATTTACTGTGAAGTGAAGCAAGTTGGAGGAGAGAAAGTTCAGTTCTTGTATCAATATGCTCTAGAACCCATCCTGTGTTTTCCCTTAATGAGAAGGCTGTAGTTTTGACAGCATAGAGCTGTGCAATCCTTACTACACCAAGAGCATTTGCACTTTTTTTTTCCTGTAGGCTGGGGGTCAGCCTTTGAGTCCCTCCTCGCAACAACCTCAACAGGAGCTCAGCCCATCACAGATGCAGACAACTACATCAACACAAAACCAAGCCCTCCAGCAGCAGCAAGGCTCCTCAGTGCAGCACACATATCTCCCCAGCAACTGGAACTCATTTCGGAGCTACTGTAAGTGTCAGCAGTAGCCCTAACTACTTGCCTGGCAAGTGTGTCTGACTAACAAGTACCCCATGTCTCCAGCTGCCAAATGGGACACTGTTTTCAGAGTTCGTTCAGCTTTGTGGTTAATATTCATAGATACAAACAAGATAAAGCTTCAGATAAATGTAAATGGTTGTACCAGTTCTTCCACTATCATCCATACTGATCCAGTACATAGCTTGGGCAGGCACACTGGGCTCCTTTATTCCAAGGAACTTGCATACAGCAAGAATCCATGTGTTGGATAGCTACTTGTTCAAATTTGTGTGCATGCTTGAAAAAATTGTGTGGAAAAGGAGCGTGACATGAAGATGATGTCTCATGCCCTTTCAGTTCTGGATAGTAATTCTGTGATGATTTGAGTGAGAACAGGATGCGTTTTCCCTGCATGAATTGCCTAATCTCTATCTGGTGTTAATTGGCATAATTCTACTGAGGCCTGTAGGGTTCTACAAGGCCTTATATCAGCTGAATTCTATTCAATACCCACTGTTTCAGACTTTAAATCTTTCTGACATAAGACTTGATCTTTGAAGGTTGTCTTTGAGTTTGACTGAAGGTCTTGATTATCCAATTTGCAACTTTTTAGCATCAGAGATTCAGATGATGACCATCCCCCAAGGGCAGTACGTGATCACAGAGACTTCTGTGGGTACCCCGGTCACCACTGTCAACACAGGGCAAGTGAAAGCAGTTACTCAGGTAAGGAAAAGCCATCATGGCTTTTTTTTTATCCAGAATATTATCAGGTATAAAGCTCTTCAGCTTGAAGGTTTAAAGAATGCCCAAATAACAACTGGGGCACAGAGTGGAGTTACCTAAAGAGGTGCAGACTGCACAGTATAGTCTGCATTGTAGCTATTTACAAGGCTCATGTTGTCTGTCTCTTGTAAGTATGACTCCTTTCAGTTTAAAATCTCCACTTAATCACATTTGCAGAACAAAATTATTTAGTGGTACTGCTTAGTCTTAAATATATTTATGATTAAGCTGTATCCATTAAACCAAATTTCAGAACAGCTTCTGGAAACATTTTAGTAGCTTTCTGTTATCTGTAAGATAAGAAGGTTTCCTGTTCGTAAGCAATCCAGCATAAAAAACAGGTCATGGGCTTGTGTTGATCCTGGTCGTTGGGAGTGCAACTTCTGATAGAACGTGTGGAATACAGGAAAAAACCTTTCAGAATAGTACAGTTGAAAATTGCTATTTTATTCTGTAGTGATGGTTTAACCATTTGTAAATTAACCAAAAGCCAAGTAAGTCCAATGTCCTTCAAATCAAAGACAGGTGTTATGTTGCTCTTAAATACATTTTAATGAAATAGAGCTTATTTAAAACTTCCTTGTTCACACTAAAATGTCTGGCAGCAGACTTAAAACAGAGATGTCACAGAAGGTAGTGTTTATTAATTATTTTCTATATTCCCCATGCAGACTCACTATGTGATATCTGAAGGTCAGCCTGATCTGGATGGTAAACCAAACTCTTCGCTCTCCAGTGAGGTTCAGGTGGGCATTTCCCAGCCTACAGTCCACACGGATCCCTTGGAATCCCAGACGAGCAGCCAGCAGCAAACCACCCAGTACATCATCACCACCACCACCAACGGGAGTGGTGGGAGCGAAGTGCACGTCTCTAAACGCAGGACTTTCTCATCAGCGCATGAGTGAAAGAGCTTCATGGTGCCATTTGCTTGTCCTTGTCACCTCCCAGATATGGGGGTACCCTGGAACTCTATATGTTTAATGTATATGCTCACTTACCTTCCACTAAAATCTTGGAGCTCTTGTTAATGCTTTAAGAGGGTTTCATTCACAGTGACCATGAAATACCCTCAAAATCCTTTTGGGATGCTTTTTATGCAGCTTTTAAGAAAAAGGACAAGAGAAGTGAAACCTCTGCTGGCTCTGGACTTTATTTTTGGCATGTCTGCTGACCCAGCAAACAATATTATTTTAGCTTTGTGGGAAAAAGCCTGCCTAACTGAAGGCTTCCTGGCAGATGTATGTATATTTTTAATAGGAGCCATTAAACATGAGAACATCATGTACATTGTTAGAATATGGCAGAACTGATTTCTGTGGCTTCTAGCAGCCACAGTGAAAGGGAGTGTCCCTGCGCCATATGAGCAGACTGCCTGCAGAAAAGAGAGACAACAGCCAAGTGGTGGTTTGTGGTGTCCCTTTATGGGGATGGATTGAACAATGAAGCTGTGAAGATGTGCCGAAGCAGTCCATTAAATTATTATTTTTCCGGCCCTCCAGAACTGTTTACATGCTGTCTGCCCTGCCCTATTTTACCCAGCAGTTTCAGAAAGCAGGAAAAGCACAGTCTTAAACTCATGTTGTTTGGAACAAACTGATTGAAGTCCTCAGAGCACCTGAGAGTAGTAGAGAGTCACTGTTACTACTTTTCCCTCCAGTTGTGCCAGGAGAAAACAAGGATACAGAGGATCCTCTGAAGGGACAGGGTCATTATCTCTGTGGCCAGCTCAAAGTAAATCTATTTCTCCTCTTCAAGGCTGGATGGAGAGTTGGTTTCTTTGAGTTTTTTGGGTTTTTTCCAAATAACCTTGTTAACAATGTACTGTAATTCCATTGGACAGTTCCAGAAAACAATCAGCCCTGGACTCAGGAAACACACAAGAAACATGCTAGTGGACCACTATTTATGAAACATGGAAAGACATCTATGAGAGTTGCCAGATGTGATGGACCTGGTTTACATACAGAATTTATGTTGCATTTAGGGACCAGGAGAAAGGGAAAGAGAAGGTTTTTTTTTTAAGGCCATGTAATATGTTTTTCCTTACATAGTTCTCCTTCACAGGTTGTCTTGGTTCTTAAAGGCATTCTCGTGGTTGCAAAAACATGACTAGAACTCCATTGACTTCTAATGGGATATACTGTGTATGTCTGAATTTCCATTCATTACTGGAAAACTCATCCCAGAACATCTGTGCATATCAGGATACATTTATTTATAAAACAAATGCAAAGAAGGATGCTGTGTCTTGACGGTCCTTGAGACAGAAGAACTTGAGAGATTTTTTTATTTTTCTCTTGTACTGCACTGAGTGTGAATGTAGGACTCTTCCATAGATATTCCCATGGATTCACGTGTGGATTACCCATGTCAGTAAGCACTACTCATTGTGGTATCAGGTTTTATGGAGTTAAAGCTCTTTGATGTGAGGGAACTCCACACTCAGGCTGCACAAGAGCAAATCTGATTCCTTGTGGGCAAAGCTTTGTAGCAGGTATGGCTTTGGTAATTAACTTACCTGTTAATGTGGCATGGAAAGAATATTGAGATAAATCAGTTGGCCAATACTGGCCTGCTGAGAGGTGTTCTGAGGTAACTCTGAAGTGACTTGCCAAAATGTGGATTACTTTGTTCTTGGGATTTCTCTTCTCTTGCTGTACCTCCATACTGGAGCACTAATGAGCTGGGTAGAATTAACATGGACCAGAGCTCCCATTTGATCAAGTGCAGTGATGAGTGACCTTAAATTCTGTGGATTTGGCAGCCCAGCTACTGTGGCAGTGTGGAGAAGTAACCACAATGCCCAGTAACTTGAGTTCATGTTGCTGAGGTCTTTGGAATTACAGTGTTGGGCCTTGCAATGTTGTTTGTGTGGGAAGAGAGTAGGGAGAATTTTGTCTTGGCTTTTTTCAGGCTGCTGCTAATTTAATAACAGGGCAGAAATGCTATAAGTAGTAGGAAAATAGCAGACTTGGAAATGGGAGACTGGGAATACTGGGATACTGGAGGATTGCAGGAGCAATTTTAATAGTCTTAAAAGTTTGACAATAGATGAACGTCAAATATGTTCCCATTATTGATGCTGCAGATGTGGGGTTTAAAAACTTCTTTGCTCTATTCACCTTTGTTGGAACGGTCCATGAATGAGGACAGTTGTACCATTTATTTAAAACTGAAAACTATTTAACACAGAAAACCATTTTAAAACAGCCTTTTTGAACTCAAATCTTCCTCATCAAAGTTTCTCTGCTCCACAGCAGCAGCACCCTTGGGCTATTGGCCTGACTCTAGGTGAAGTAATTCCTAGTGTCACAAGCTGAATAAATTGTCTGTGAAAGAAGCATGCCTGGAAATGGAAGTACCACAGATTTTCTTTCCAAAATAAGGAACTACAGTGATTGCACAGATGGCAAAGGTTGCATGGATATTTTTATCCATTTTTGTAGCGCAGAAGGTATAGGATGTATTACTGTTTTTAAACGAGAGCAACACAAACATCTCTCTAAGTTGTATCCCACAGAAGTGTAAATCCAGAGATCCAGAGTCCTCTCAGTTGCCTGGAAGATCTGTTTTGTTTGGAGATGCTGTCCCTTGGAGGTGTTCTGGGTCAGATTCTGTATTATCCTGGAGGAAAGAGAAAACAGCCCCAGCTGGCGCACCCTGATCGTGCATCTCTTGGACTGCTCAGGCCCCATCTATTATTTAACTCTGTATGTTTAATGTACATTTGGTGACTGTTGTTGTGTTCAGAGTCTTGTGCAACTTGGCAGGTGTAAAAAAAAAAAAAAAAAGAACAAAAAACAAACCAACCTGAAAATAATAAATCTGTTTCTCTTTTTTTTTTTAATCACTCGCGATGACCAATCTGTTCATTGGGCTATGGTGTTCAGGTGGGGTGTGGATAGATGGGATGATAACAGTATAGAAATAACATGGGGAAATACATTTGCTACTCTCTGGATGGATCACAGAATTTCCGACCTCCCCCAACACAGTCCAGGGGGCAGGGGGAAGTGGAGTGGAGCCACTCTGTCTCTGTTGAAACCCTTGCAAAGTAAAAAATTTTAAAAACTATTTTTAAATTTAAAAGGTAGTTCCTTCTAGCTGATCAGCCGCATAGCATCTGAAAACAGGAAATTAAGGATGATGTCTGTTAAATCAGCAAACCATGACAAAATCCCTGTAGGAGTGACTCATGTCCCCATCCCAGCGTTATTTCAGGTACTATCCTGACATATCCACTCCCAAGGTATGACCATCACTCACTAAGATACATGACTCAAGTTCAACCTAAATTTAAGTTAAAAACGGAGAAGTTAGGGAAGAGTCCATTGTAACTTCTGCACTGACTCTGTTCCTCGCTGATTGGCTAAGACCTGCACTCTGTGATTTATGATGTGCCAGGTTGTGTCACAGATTAGAGCTTCTCTGTACATTGCTTTACTCTCACCTGCAATCCTGAACTTTAACCTATCAATACTTTATTAAATGAGTGTCATTCTAGAAACTATTATTGTGCGTCCTTGGCGGGGCTGGCAGTGGGTAAAGGTGTGGAGACACAGTTAAGAACCTCCGCGTGCTGTATGAAAATTTGCTGCATTAAAATTCAAAATACTCAGCCTTTCAGCACTTCATTGTAATATTAGCACAGTATCTCAATGACTAATCCACTGCACAGGACTGCAGTCAGGCCGTATGGATGTGTGACTGTCAGGTGGCTGCAGCATTCTACAGCTGCCGTATTTCCAGTGGAGCTAACACAGCTCTCCTGGAGGCCGCGGCGCCATCGGGGCCGGCCGCCGCTCGGGGCCGCGCGCAGGCGCAGTTCGGGGGGCGGGGCGTTCGCGCAGGCGTGGCAGCGCCGCCGCCTTCCGCCTTCGGCCGGGCCGCGTGAGGGGTATGAAATAAACCTGTTTTTCTGTTTTCTTCTCTGTCCCACCCTGTTTATTGTGGCGTTTTATTGCCCTTTTTTTTTTTTTATTTCGCGTGTTTTATGCGTTTCTTCGCAGCTCAGAGCGGTCCGGCTGTGTCGCGCCGGAGGGGACTGGGCTCCTGGCCCTGTCAGACCTTCAACCTGAGGCAAACCCCACCTTAGACCTGACCTTCGGTTCTGCCCCTTAAAACCGCCTTCAGGACTTAAATGTAGTCTGTCCTGCTGATTAGCAGTGTTGAAAACAGTTCCTGCAGGTGGGAAGGAAAGTGTGATGGGTCAGCTGTACTTCCCAACCTACCTGTCTGGAAAAGCACTTCTCCATTGGCATGACCTGTGTTGTAATTGAAGAGTAAATGCTTCTATATGAATGTTTTATGTATATATATGTGTGTGTGTGTATGTATAAATTTGATATATATATACATGTGTATGTATGTATACATGCATACACATATATATACAGATATATACAGATATATATGTATATATATGCATGCACAGGCCTGCAGGCCAACTCCATAGCTTCAATTTAAACAAACACCCATCAAAAGTGGGTCTTCTGTCACTCCTCACATCAGGATGGGTTTATCTGATGTATCTGGGTTTGGGATTTTTGTTTGTTGAGGGTTTTGCTGTCGTTGTCCAGGAGCAGAAGGGCTGGAGGATGGATTCCCTGGATCACATGCTTACAGACCCCCTGGAGCTGGAGGGCAGTTGCACACGGATCATGGAGGACTGCATGCTGGGCACCACACGGGTCAGTCTGCCCGAGGACCTCCTGGAGGATGTGAGTAGTGCTGAGACACTTCACCTTATCATAACAACATGTTTAACTTTCTTTTTGGAGCTCATGGAGCAAACTGGAGAGGGGAGGTGTTTTTGACTACTTTGGGAAAAGTGTCAAGTGTTTGATTAATCTCAGGACAATCTCTTTTAAATCAATTCTGTTATGTTTTTATTACTTTTAAATTGCCTTTAAGAAGATTGTTACAAGCTTTGAATTTGTTTTCTTGTTAGTAGTATCAATTTCTTGACTTTTGCTTTTATACTCTACTGTTTCCTGTGTTTTCTAAAACACTGTCTCATGACTG